CATAGATGTGCTTGTTTGCCATCATGTATAGTTGAGTGGCAAGGTAAAACGTTCGGGTCTTCTTCCTGTCTCCATTGAAGTCATCTGGGAGACGGATCTTGATTTCAGTTGGTCGTGCTTGCATGACTGGTGCAGCAATGCCTGCTCCAGCCGTTTGGGCAGTGGGATCGATCGGGTTCGTCATGGTTCTGGTTCAAGGGACGGGATTCCACTAGGGAGTCCAACAAGGATGATCAGGAGTAGAGGAGGGGTTGCCTAGGCTTGAAGAAGTCGGCAAGTGTCGTAGAAGAGTTCAACCTAATGTTAGGAAGCGATGTCCTAACTAGTCGTCTTGAGATAACTGGGCCACGTGCCAACAGTTATGTCGTCACTACCTCAGTAAGCGTACTGAAAGGTAGGTCTGGCCGGGCCAATGCCAACGGTCAAGTCAAGAGTCCAGGTAATCGCTGTATTCAACAGGAGGTTGAACTAAGGAATACATGGGTTTTCCTACAGTATATATAGTAACTGGTATAGGGGTTAATACCCAAAGAAGAGAACAATAAGAAAGGACGCGTAAGCTGTCCTGTGAGAATGTAACTCAGAGAAATGAGAAATACAAGGGCGCCCATTGGTAGAAGGTGAGTCAAGGGAGATAACGTGTGGGAAGAAGATAGCGTCCATGGGAAGTTCTACTCAGAGAAAGGTACTGTCCAATAGCAATGCTCGGAATGGAAATGGAATGAGATAAGCATGGGAAAATCATAACAGACGATGTCGAACTGTGGCACGCTTTTAAGTCAAGTTCAAAGTCCGCCATGTTGAACTTAGCAAATGAGGCGACGCGCATCAGTCAGGCCTGTGGTTGATTTGTTGCTAAGGGTATATATATATATAGAATGATAAGATAATCCTCTGGGAAGCAGTGTTGGCCTTAACCGTGGTTAAACTGAGTTAAACTCTTTTGAACCCGGTTTGACTGTTTTAACCTTAACCATGGTCAAAGTTAAGGCGTGAATGTCACGTGAACGGAGGAGAACTGCATAATGCAAGGCAAGGGAGATCTTCAGTATGATAAATCAAGGTATCATGTGCTGTACATGTAGGATTGCATTGTACTGCTGGAGGAGGTGCGACACTCTAACAAATGACTTTTTCGCTTCAAGGCGCATTCAGGACTCAGGAGGACGGGTGGCGTGTGCCGGACCTAAGAATGGGACACACATACTTTCAGAGTTTAATGACATCATGCTACTATTTCTGGTAAGAACACGACATGTGCATATCACACCTTAATCTCTTAACTTTGGTCAAACCTGGGTTATACCTGGGAAAGTGGCTAAACCCGGTTAAATGGTCAAGGGGTTTAGCCTCAACCAGCCCAACACTGCTGGTAAGTGTATCTCAACAGGCGGTTGGCTTATCATAAATGCAAGTCTGGTATTCGGCTGGTAATGTGATTGTAGACATGCTAAAATAACTGGAATAAGCGCCAGCCACTACCAGCCACGGGACAATGGACGTTGTTAGTGACAGCGTGCCACGGCGTCACTGTAGTGGGATAAGTTGTACTATATATTAGCTCATGCAGCATACATATAGAGCGATGCGGAATTATATGGTAGTTGTCGCCCGCCACTCTCCTCATCATTGATGGTGGTGGTGGGGCAGCCTGTGGTATACAGGTCCAGTCAATTTCGATAAATTCTAGATAAATCATATTATATTTCTAGAGTACGTATAAAACTTAACTACAGAGTAGGGTACGTCTACGATGCCATTCTGCACGGATATACACATGTGTCAGATGTGGCATAGGAGAAAATAAAATATAGATGCTCATAAATGTGCACCTACCTGGAGATACCTGCAGGATACTATCAGGGTAGTTATTTGCTGCATAGTCAGCATGGTAGATCATTAACGAAGCATACAGGACGAAGGGGAACATGCACTTACTAGGTGGGGAAGAGACAGGGATAAATGGATCAGTGAAGCGGTCGGAAATGCCCCAGTTCCACAGAGAATAAATTAAAGGGTATAAACCTCGTAGAAATGTGCAGAATGCCTCCGCATAGAAGCCAGGGAGTGAGAAAAAGCGAATATATTGGGAGGGTGTCCACAATATTACTCACCTCAGGATGGGAGAAGGGCATTCCTGGACCATTGCAAGGTCACCATATACCTACCCCTCCAATATGAGGTGAAGGATTACTTGATGCAGGATGGTACCAAAAGCATTGGACTTGGGGAGATTGGTACCTCAGCTGCCTTTGTCCTCTGCTCTCACGCATGTCCATGGAGGAGCATATGAATTCAGCATTAAATAGAAAGACACTGTCTGGTGTAGTAATAATACATAAGGAGTCTAAGGGTCTTTTGCTTTGTATTCTCGACGGATAGATTATTTCTAATACATTGGTAAAGGGCAAGCACCAGGCTCTTGAATGCAAATTAGCCTGACATCTTATGACATGAGATATTATGTTCAATCTCATTTGATTTTGCTAAAGAGATGGAGACAGTAGCTTCTTGAATCTTGTAGGAAATAATTGTTCACTACTTTCTGTTGAAATAATCCTGGCAAACGTAAGACGAGCACGTTTGCCCCAGGCGGTCGGTTGCCCGAAGGGCAATCGCGTACTATACAACGAGTAGATACAGCGACTATATACGAGTTCCGCATAAACATTCACCCACAACGGCCGCCTATGGTGGCCCCGTCCTATCGCGCGCGAGCTCGCAAGCTCGACCGATAACCCCGAAATTCCAACATTTTCTTTATTGATAATATTAATATGCGGGAGACTCGGTGGAAGCGCATGCAATCGACGCGTTAGTCGCTTAGCTGCCTTACATAATTCCGGTAAAACCTCGGATGACGAGTTGAGCCAGCCGTCTCAGAGCGGGGCTCGATAATGATAGAGTTGCAATAAAATAAAATAAAAAGAAAAAAGAAGAAAAATTGGGATTGTTTGTTTGGGGACCATAGTAAATGTCCCGCAGACCTTTCTTTGTTCACTCAAAGGACATTCTTCATGTCCAGGTTATGGTCCAGCAAGGACCGTTCTAGAAAGCGTTCTCCCAACTGGGAGGTGTTCCTGGCATGCCCGCCAGCGGGACATCGGTCTCTTTCCGCAGTGTTTCCAATACAGGTTATAATGAGGACGTGGTTGATTCAGTATTAAATCAAGCGGCCACTGTCATTAACATCATCGACAATCATACACCCTGAGCGCCTGCTGACATCAAGTACCCACACAGACCCCGCCCTCCTCAATCCTGGAACTTAAACTGCCACTGCTTCTTCACCTCCGGAAAGTCCGGCACAATAACATGCCTGTTCCCATCCTGGCCCATAACCGGCGGCGTATGCCACTCTGCAGGGCTGACCTTGTGCACGCGCCCGTTGATTACGATCACGTTCAACTTGTCGTGGTCCTGCAGCACCGTGATGTCCTCCAGCGGATTCCCATCCACCAGGATACAGTCAGCGTAGTACCCGGGAAGGATCTTGCCGAGCTCGTGCGAGCGCATGAACAGCTCGGCGACGCCCGTCGTCGCTGCCTGGATGGCCTCCATCGGCGTGAAGTCGATGAGTTTGACGAAGTGCTCGAGGTCGCGCGCATACGTGCCGTGAGGGGTCCAGGCGAAGCCGTAGTCACTATTATCTGTTGGTCAGCAATGAGGGACTACATGGGACAGGGACAGCCACGCTCACCCTCCGGGGAGGACCTTAATGCCCCGCCTCTTCATCTCCTTCAGCGCCTTGATGCACGTCTCGAGTTCGCGCTTGTACCCTCGCTGCTCCGCCTTCGTCTGGCTGAACCCAAAGTCCGCCGCCTCGTACAGCGTCGCGTACAGGATGTGGATCGCCGGCGCGACCCAGTGCTTGTCCTTCGCCTTGTCGAGCATGTCCATCCCCTCGTCGTCGATGAAGGATGCGTGGTAGATGACGTCGACGCCGTGCTTGACGCACATCGTCACCGAGTCTCTAGCGCGGGCGTGCGCGCAGACGAGCTTGCCCGCCTTGTGCGCCTCGTCGACGCACGCGGCGGTCTCCTCGTCGGTGAAGTAGCAATCTTCAGCTGAGCGGTCGTCGCAGATCTGTGGTAGATTGATTAATATGACATTGGTGCGAGTGGCGAAAATGAAAACTTACCGCGTCTCCGGACATGCTGAGCTTGATGTTGTCCACGCCGAGGGCGATGTGGTGCTTGATTACTTCGCGCATTTCTTCTGGCCCGTCGGCGAAGACTGTTATGCCAGCCTCGAGTTCCCCGTCGCGGCGAGCCATCTCCATCCCATTGGCAAGGTACCGAGGGCCAGGGATATCACCGGCATTGATAGCATCACGGATCACCACGTCTAACCTGTCTTTCGCCGACGCAGCACCGAAGCACCTGTAGGATGATACTCAGGTGAGATAGACGTCCAGCGGAAGTGAACGCCGTCGCTCCGTACATGGTGTACCCCGACTCGAGGTAGGCAAGCGCCGACCTCGCAGTCAGCAGTGTGTGCTCCTCGACGCCCATGTTCCCCAGCTTGACCATGTCTCCGCCGTTCCACGACAGATGAACGTGAGCATCGCCGAGGCCGGACATGAGCGTTCTCCCGCGGCCATTGATGACTCTGACCTTTGGGTTGTTGACGAGCGTTGTCCGCTCGGGTACCGAGCCCACTTTCGTTATGCGTTCGCCTGGTATACCCACAGGTATTAGTATTTGAATTATTGAGACAGCTAGGCGATATGCGACTCACCCTCTATTAGGACGTCACCCATGTACGGCTCGCGGCCGGTCGAATCAAGGATGTTGACATCGAGAAAGAGGATCTTGTTGTCGGGGTGGGTACCCGCCATCTGATAGTTCTTCGGCCTCAGCCAGGAAGGTGTAGAGTTGTCGACGTAGCCATTAGTGTCCGTCGCGGTTGTAGCGGTAGACATAGTGACGGCCTGCTAGGATAATCTACCGGGTGGAAGCACTTAAGGTGGCAGGGGGGATACTCTCAGAAAGAAAGAGTAGGAGGGCGGTATGGGATATTAGGCTAGTTTTCCTTATATACGACGGAGTGGCACTATGAAGCCCCGTGCGCAATACTCGGAGGCGGCACGAAGCTTCGCGGTAAGGATGGGGCATCGCTGGCGCAGCAAGAATACGTATGAGGAGCACGGGTTCAAGATATCGAGGTTATCCTTAGATGAGAGCGTGAAGGGAAAGGATGGAACAGCGGGCCAATCACAGCCCAGAAGAAGCGTCACCATCTTTCACACTGTCCCAGGCTTTGTTGGTCCATGGCGCGTGGCCCGAAGAAGTGGGTAGCGGCCGAAGTGGCGAGAGTCTAGTCTGTAACGAATGGAAACTATGCGGGAGGAGGTGAAAACGGAGAACCGTCGGCGGCCTGAGGTTACTCTGGAACTCCAGTGCTATGAGGTAACGCGAAGCCCAAGGATATCTGTACGCCTCCTCGACATCTCATCAGTAGTATCCACGGGACCATGGCCACATATCACAATGACCTGACCATTCCATCACTTGGAAGTGATGACACAGACTGGTAAAGGACGGATCGCCGTTGGAATCGAAGTTACATGACAAACGGCTGAACAAATGACTCAAGTGTTTCATGGCAGAGGGTCGCGCATTCGAACCTCACCAGATGATATAACACACGCGATATGTGCGGAATCTGTCCCGCCGTTCCGTCTGACCTATGTATCCGAGCTGGTCGGTCAAAGTCAGCGACCAAGCTTTCATAACTACGGATGGAAGACCGATTGTGCAATCTATGGATGTTGCGGCAAGCCGAAGAGTAGGCGGTTGCGATGATCTATAGACTACTGCTTTGACGTCAGGCGAGCTGGCATACCAGGAGTCTCTGTGGTTTACCATTATACTGCTTATGTGCCGAATGAAATTGCGGTACCTTCGGTAACAGTATTGACGTGTATGAAAGAAGGGTAAAAACGAGGTGTCCGCTCATCTCTGTGCCCCTGTTCACCAGTTACCGGGGCTTGTTTACAGGCTGTAAAGCAAGAGGGCGATAGAAGAGAGTATCATAGTTATCGGACGGCAGACGTCGTACGGCGCGGTTGGAGAAGAGCATAGGGGGATACCCTAGATACCTAGGCAGCTGCCAGTGCAACACAGCAAGCCGAAGGTCGTGTCCGACTGGATCGTGTCAATTGGAAGACCGTGACGTCTCGACTCTCGACCGTGACATACGCGTTGTCACGTGATGTGCAGAATATTCTCAGCCACAGCCTCAGCCTCAGGCTCGTACGCGCGAGTCCGAGTCGACTTGGATAACGACCGCGCTCCGAGTCGTATAAAAATCTAGGTATTTATCATTCTGTCTTATGCTGAAACAATCAAAATTCTCAAAGTGTCAACCTGAAGGCCACATTTTGCACCCCTCCCTCTGTTATTGAAGGCGATGTGCTAACTCCAGTATACTGGTATCGCCCTAACGTACTGTAGGCACATCAACCGCAGCGATTTCTTTGCCAAAGGTGGATTGAGGGCCGATACTCGGAGATTCATGTCCCGCCCTGCTCCTCTGGTCATCCTCGAGGCCGTGAGGACGCGGCATATAGGCCCTAAATGCAGGGCGCACTTGAGCTACGTGTCGCCGCCGTTGGTCAAGCGGACTAAAGTTTTTGGGCTCGCTGATCTCTCATCTCTCTCCGCTATGCTTTGGCTTGTCCTGCTGCGGGTCATCATGATTTCCTTTAGGTAAGCATCTCGAGGGTCCGTTCATGCCGCTTCATGCACGCATATATATTAAGATCATTTAGGATGTGCGGAGATATATCCGTCCCGGGATTCCATTCCAAAGATGCTTACACTACCGATCTTCCAGCTCTCCATACCAGTCTCTCTACTCCTGTCTGTTATAGTCCGAAAGCTCGTCCGCTCGTATCTATCTCCTCTCCGTAATCTTTCAGGGCCGCCAAGCATGAGTATATTCTCTGGTAGTATCTGGGAGTTGTTCTCCAGCGAACCCGGAACTGTGAATGATCGCTGGCTCGAACAATATGACAGTGTACAGGTGCACATGGTTATCTAACGTCAGTTCCTATTATCCTCGCTTCGATGAATGCTATTGATTAGACTTGCCCACCCGCACATACAGGATAATTTTCTCCTCACGAGTGATCTGAGGGCATTGCACCACGTAGTTAGATCCCGGGCGTATGAGTTGCCTCTGAAAGCAAGGGAGAACCTTGGGCGAGCGTCGGACCGGGTGAGTGACTATCCTATGTGTCCTCCGCTTCGTCTGAGAGGGATATTTGCAAGGGATTATTGTAGTCGAAGGTCAGTACGAGATGACGAACTAGTGTTGCATGCTTAATTGCTACTAAAGGGTCTCATCCAACATTGATGGCCTGATAATTCTCCACAATGACTAGGGACCGGCGTTCGGACCGGGCAGTATCCGTGAAATGACTAGTATCTTTCTCTACAACACAATCCAGGTATACTTCTATTCCTTGGGGCACTTTACTGGGACCTTGATAAGAACACAGCTCCGCGACATATGGGCGTCGGAAATTACCAACTCCAGCTCCGGGAGGGACGTCACTGTTGAAATCCTGTCTTGACTTGGAAGACTTACTCTCGACATCATCGGCGAGGCAGGTGAGAAAACCTTAATTGTTTCAGAAAGTCGAAAGGGTGTAGTTATCAACCGCTCCGAAAGAATATGGGGCGCGGATGCCAAAGAACAAAGAACTCAAGTGAGCACGCTATCATCTGCCGTTTTCCGCTCGTCCAATATGCTTCTTACAAGTCGGAACGTTGGGATTCAGTTCCCGATACCGTGACACAGATACCAAGCGTGCGGGGGAACGTTCTGACCTTCCTCGCTGGTATTGGTTATCGATTCTCTGTCGTCGAGTGAGCACTCGTGTCATCTATGATATGTAGCCCCGCTCAGTGTGCATTAATGCCATACACAGGATGAAAGCTATTCTGTTTATCTTGCTGCGGTCTTTTGAGTTCGAGCTCGTGGTCCCCAAGGAAGATATCACCAGCAAGGCCGCGATAGTGACGAGGCACGTTGTCCAGGGTGATCCCACCAACAAGACTCAGTTACCTATCAGATAAGATTGTACAGCCAATCATGAAGCTGCTGTAAATCATATACCGACGTCGGCTTGGGAATCTATTTCTTGATCGATGATCCTTCGCTGCTGTTTAGCATTTGTGGCGGACGATTCGCGAAATGATTTATTGAAAAACTACCCCCTCCTGGCTCACCGCTGCCCGAGTCGTAATCTAGCTCCGGGGTCGCTCCAATCAATCTTCTACGATGTCCAACATGTACGCTTCAGTGGAGACGGCGGAACTCAGCTCGATCCATTCGATATCTGATCATGATTAAAATACGGTGCACGATGCCATAATACTCCTACTCATACAGCACCCCGAACTTAAAAGACCGTTTGCCACTTCTTCTTTACCTCTGGAAAGTCTGGTACGATGACATGCCTGTTCCCATCCTGTCCTGCAACAGGGGGCGGGTGAAACTCGGTCGGAGAAACCTTATGCACTCGCCCATTGATTACGATCACATTGAGCTTGTCGTGGTCCTGGAGGACGCGAATATCCTCCAGAGGGTTACCGTCGACGAGAATGCAATCGGCAAGGTAGCCGGGCTGGATCTTGCCCAATTCGTGGGAGCGCATGAAAAGCTCCGCTACGCCGGCTGTTGCGGATAGAATGGCTTCCATTGGTGTAAAGCCCAAAAGTTCGACGAAGTGCTCAATGTCACGGGCATAGGTGCCGTGCGGTGTCCACGCAAAGCCGTAATCGCTACGAGAATGCCAGAGTCAGAAAGCGTAGGTGTCGACCGAGCGCAAAGCAGGCTTACCCTCCTGGGAGCACCTTGATCCCTCGCTTGTGCATCTCGCGCAGAGCCTTGATTGCGGTCTCAAGCTCACGCTTGTACCCGACCTTCTCCGCCTTGCTTTGGGCGTATCCGAAAGGAGCCGCTTCGTATAGGGTCGCATACAGCCAGTTGATGGCCGGCGCGACCCAATGCTTGTCCTTTGCCTTCTCGAGCATGTCCATGGTCGCATCGTCGATGTAGGACGCATGGTAGATGACATCGACGCCGTGCTTGACACACATGGTCACGGAATCGCGGGCACGGGCGTGCGCGCAGACGAGTTTGCCATACTTGTGGGCCTCGTCGACGCACGCAGCGGTTTCTTCGTCGGTGAAGTAGCAGTCCTCGGCGGATCGAGTCTCGGTTATCTGCAAATGCGCCGTTAAAGACGATATACACCCCAACGTCAAAAAATTATACCTCTTCGCCAGACATACTGAGTTTGATATTATCAACTCCCAGCGCTACATGATGGCGGATGACTTCGCGCATTTCATCTAGAAGGAACATCTATGTCAGAGCCGTTCGTGGGTACACTGAACACGAACATACCTGGACCATCAGCATAGGCTGTAATTCCTGCCACGAGCTCGCCGTCACGTCGAGCCATCTCCTTCCCGTTAGCAAGATAGCGTGGACCAGGGATATCGCCGGCATTGATTGCGTCGCGAATGACCACATCCAGTCTTTCTTTTGCAGACGCGGCGCCGAAGCACCTGCATGAAGGAATCTTAGCTTCGACAGTAGCGTGGAGATAAGGAGAGATATACGTACATAGTATAACCCGAATCAAGGAAGGCAAGCGCCGATCTCGCAGTAAGCAAGGTGTGTTCCTCTACACCAAGGTCCCCGAGCTTCTCGAGGTCACCACCATTCCATGAGAAGTGGGCGTGAGCGTCGCCAAGGCCGGACATTAGTGTCCTTCCCCGACCGTTCATAACTCTGACTTTTGGATTATTGACGAGAGTTGCCCTCTGGGGTACGCTCCCGACTGCTGTTATGCGTTCACCTGTGCGATGCTTTAGAGGCCATATCTCTGTGAGAGGTAAGGGCAGTGGACGTACCCTCAATCAAAACGTCGCCCATGTATGGCTCTCTGCCTGTCGAGTCGAGAATGTTGACATCTAGGAAGAGGATTTTGCTGTCTGGGTGGGTGCCTGCCATGGAATACTCCTTCGGGTGCAACCATGCAGGCGTGGTTCCATTAGTGCGGCCATTGGTCTGGGTACCGTTTGACGTGGTAGACATGATAGTTGGTTGCGTGAATAGTGATAGAATATGCGCAAACTAAGCCCACAGAGAGGGGGGCGATCGAGACGTAGCTGCTGCGCAAGGTGTGTAATATACGGAGCATTGGCGCTGTGAGAGAAACCGATACTCACGGCCAAAGGAAGCATCTCTGCACGGACGGAGAATGCATTTAGCGATCATCTCACCCAGCTTGAGCATGATACCAAGATAACACGGTGGTAGGAAACCGGACTTTGGGGAAAATCAGACCCGATCACATTTTCGAAGGTGTATTGCGGCCTTTCACACCTTGCTCAATGTTCCAGTGAATGGTGGATTAGCTTTATAGATTGGCAACCTAAGAAGACAGATTTGCTTCCTTAATCTGTAGAAGGGAAGGGTGAAACATGACGAAGCCTGATTCTGATAGTAGGTCATCACCTGGAGAGGGATGGTCGATCCATTGGGTATGCTCGGAAAATCCTCCAGTGCGGAGGTAAAGCCAGTTGGACCTTCTCGGGGTCCACGAACCTGGTTAGACTCGTATTACCGAGAGCCGTGTGGCGTGGTTGTCGATTTCGACGAGTGATACGAAAAGCCAGGCACGTGCAGACCCTCTCCCTGTTGGAGGCGTGCTACATCAGTCAGGGCACCTAGCCCGCATTCACAAATGCCCAAGAGCAGAACCGTGTCCCGATGTCGCAGATTGGGCGGGTCAAGGAAATAAAAAAGTCCCGGGTTACGCAGTCCCGGACTCCATGGTAGGTGGTGCACCAGTGCGACGAGACTCATGACCGATACCGATGACTGGTCGTTGCAACCTAATCACGTCGGGATCATCTGGCCAGCCGGCAGCATAAATGGGTTCAGCGGAAGGAAAGCGTGACTTGAGTGAGGTGATAGACGATGGTCTAGTCCAATGGAGGAGCATTTGCCAAAGGCAGGTCCGCTGGAGCATGAGATATCTACCATATGATTTGTACGGGTAGGAGATCCAGATACAGTGCTTTGCATAAAAGTCCGGAAACTGCGCGTTTCTGTTTGTCCCAGCCAAACAATACCTTATAGGGTAACACCTGACCGAGGGCGCGACGGTCCTCGAGTCAGCCTATATCACTCCTGGGACACAAATGCCCGTCTCAAGGCTGAATAACGTTCAGATCTGTATATCTTCAGGATATCGAGCACGCAGAGGTCAAAATCCCCCAAGAAAGACCCTCATACATGGATGTCGAAGCGTCCCGCCAACCAGTCAACAGCCCGCGCTACGGTGATCGACTACCCCATATAGGTTTGTTTGGCTGGCACAAACAACATTTCGCGAATCGCGGTTTCCGGACTTTTATGCAAAGCACTGTAACACCCACTTGTTCCCCATGCTTCGGTACAGTCAAGTTTTCGGCATTGAGCCTTTTTACTTTCAGAGAATTCCGAAGCTACAGTATTCTGACCTACCATAGAATGGCACTGACCGTTGAGGATTAAGCTGATTTCCGTGACATCGTACAGTGACAAGTATCACGAGTATGTTCCCCACACACTGCAGGCAGAGAGCGATGTCCCGCCGGGCATGCCAGGAACATCTCCCTGATGGGAGAACACTTTCCTAGAATGGTCCTTGCTGGACCATAAGCTGGACATGAAGAATGTCCTTTGAGTGAACAAAGAAAGGTCTGCGGGACATTGACTATCGTCCCTAAAAATCAGGGGACATTTAATTAACATTGTCCTTTCATTCTTTATGTCTGTATCATGTTCTGATATGGAGCATCCTAGGAAAGTGTTCTCCCACCCTTGCCGTGAAAGATGAATGACCGGTGGCGGGACACCGGTCCTTGCCCGCTGTGACATGACCTGAATGTACCAACAGACACTCTTGGTTTCTCCTGCCATTCCCTGGATACGAGCTCGCATTCTAATAGGCAATATGGGAGAGCTGATCATTCCAGGGGCAATTTAACGGGAGGGGTTGCACAGTGAAGTCTTCTGATTGTGGCCTGCGCGACTCACACACCTCTGCTTCCATTCGAGGGTGGAATTCCGTATGAACTGTGGTCCTAGTCTGGCGCCCAACCTGTGTGTTTGTATTCGTCCCGATGTGAAAACGATCCTAGTATGATTAGCCGGGCCGAGGCATTCCCTCCTCAATCAGAGGTCATAGGAGTCAGTTCCTGTCTTAGTTCTCACCCGTTGGAGTTCCGCTGAAGTCGATGAATGATTGTGTTAGCGGTCTAACTATCCATCCTTCGACTTCATCGGCTCTTACCTGGCCCCAGTCTCTATTCTTGCTATCACGATGGCGCATCTGTGTTTTCGCTGAAATTCTATGGAATAAACTTACTGCCTCCAACATCCGCTTCGGAAGCCTTTCTGGAGATCCTGCTGGCGTCATCTTGGACCGACGATGGACGTACATAAAGGATCGCACTAGCTACGTAGGAATGACATGTCTCGTCTAGGTCTCGCTTGACCCATTCCAGATATTGGTCGACATCACGCATACCCATAACGCATAGGCCTATCCTCCATCCTATCCATCCTGACATGTCTTCCAACGGGCCTGATGGTCAAGAATTGCTGACAAACTACATCGCGTACATCCCTGAGGACGGCGTCGCCCAGTCGCGTATCGGTCATCTTGACCTCCAAAAGTCTACAATCACACCGGTAGGTATCGAGCTCTGGTCCAAATTCACGACTCTCCCATCCTAACAGTAAAATTGCAGTTGGCATATCCCTCAGGTACACCGCTATCGACTCTATACGAAGTGATCGAGGCGGATGGCGCTGCCTTCATACCCAGCGGCGAACCGGTCTCGCTCTCGTCGGTAAAGCTCTTGCCTCCGATCAGTGGCCGGGACGTTCTTGCCGTCGGAAAGAACTACTCTGACCACGCGAAAGAGTTTAACGCTTCCGGCTATGACGCCTCCGACAAAGTCGACATGCCCTCTCACCCAGTCATCTTCACCAAGCGTGCCACTAGCATTATTGCGAGCGGTGAGGAGATTTATCCCCACCCAGACTTTACACAGACCCTCGACTACGAGGGCGAGATCGGCGTTATTATCGGGAAGGCAGGATACAGGATCGAACAGAAGGACGCCTGGAACCACGTCTGGGGGTATACTATCATTAATGACGTGACCGCTCGCGAGAAGCAGCGTGATCATAAGCAGTTCTACATCGGCAAGTCGGCGGATACGTTCTGTCCCATGGGACCTATTGCTGTACCTGCGAAGAAGCTGCAAGGTCCTCTTCGGGTACAGACTTACGTCAATGGCGAAAAGCGCCAGGAGGGAGTCACGGAGCAGTTGATCTTCTCCATTCCCGTCCTGATTGAGACTCTGAGCGGTGGTCAAACCCTCCAGCCAGGCGATGTGGTAAGTGTTTCAACGTAGTCGCCCCATATTCAGCGTCATTAACGCAGTCTGTCGTAGATTGCGACGGGAACACCTGCAGGCGTAGGCTTCGGCTTGAACCCTCCGACCTTCCTTAAGCCGGGAGATGTCGTTGAAATCTCGGTGACGGGTCTCGGCAAGCTGAGTAATCGCGTGGGCAGCCCACAGATGAGGAACTACACCATTGACCGCGTAGCGGCGAAGTCGTCCATTCCCACTTACAATCTCGACATCACTTCCGGTGGTATAGGGCTTACCACTCTCAACAACAAGAAACTCTTCGTCAAAGAGGTTGGTAGTGGCGGCTCACCCATCGTCTTCATCCACGGTTTGGGCGGGACGAACGAGTTTTACGCGCCTCTAATAAAGGTCTTGGACCTCGCGTCCAGTCACAAGCTGTACCTGGCAGATTTAGAAGGTCACGGCCTTTCCCCAACCTCGGCGAGCTCTGTGGTCAACATCGAGTCCTACGCGGCTGATGTACTAGCTCTCATCAACAAGTACGAAGTGCAGTCCCCGACCATCATCGCCCACTCCATGGGTTGTTATGTTGCTGAGTACATCGCGACGCATAACCCGTCAGCAGTCGGGAAGCTTGTCCTCCTGGGCCCACCACCTCCAGCGTTGGCTGATGCGGGTCGGCAGGGCTCGCATGCTCGCGCAGCCGCTGTGCGGAAGGGAGGAATGATTGCCGTCGCGGACACAATCGTGGCTGCGGCTACGAGCGCTAAGACGCAATCTTCGAATCCCATCGCTGTCAGTATTGCTCGACTGTCCTTGCTGAGTCAGAATCCCGAAGGTTATGCGAAGGGATGCACGGCTCTTGCAACGGCGCCGGTGGTTGACCCGTCCAAGATAAACGTCCCAACTCTGATTATCACGGGGTCCGAAGATAAGGTTAGTCCACCTGAGATGGCAAAGAAATTGGGCGCATCCATAGCTGGAGGTGGTCGAACGGAAGTTCTTCCGGACGTCGCTCACTGGCATATCTATGAGGACGTCGAGGGTGTAGCACAGCATGTCAAGTCCTTCTTGTAGACTTATCAGCACGACGAATCACAAAAGTATGTTTCAAGTAAGAATGTACTATAGACCGAATACAGGTCCTATTGATTCATGGATCGTAGATTCAGGTCGGGTGGGACTCCTGTAGCCGACCACGCTGACTGCAGTGCTTAGAAGGCATCTCTCTCGAACGTGGAAGATTCATTGTGGGAGGCTTCAGCAGAGGTAGTAGAAGGCTCGACTTCGTCTGAGATACTCTTCATAACCTAAATTTGCACAGCAGCGCTCGAACTCGCGGTTGTCTTAGGCCAGAAGCTCGGGCTTGAGGGGACTTCGTATTCGACTAAGTGTAGAATAAGAACTTGTTAGGATATTGGACGAGGGGGAGAAACGATGAGAAAGACACCGGGTCGCGAATGGGTTTGAGTGGTCTGCTGTAGAGCGGGACAGACATAAAAACACAAAGGGAAGTCCTCAAGTGACGAAGTCTTCGATGACCCAGTTGATAGAGCTGGAAATTAATCTGGGAGGGTGAGGGGGATGGCACGGCAAGTGCACCGGACTCCAACGTTTTCTGATATCGATCTTTCAGTCACGACTCACGACTCACGACATATGGGAGAAGCGCAGGCTCTTGCCTGAGGCATTCCTTGCGACGGTTACATCCCCTTTCCTGGAGTACGTGTACCACACTTACCTCTATAAGTTTTCTGGAAAAATATTCCAGAGAAGATGGGGCATTCAGCAGGAGGCAGAGGGCATAGAATAGGGATTGAATAGTGACGTGCCACAGTGCGCAACTCGCCACAAGCAAGTAGGAATAAATCCGCTTTTGATGGCTCAATTCCCACGTGGTGCATCGTCATGTCACTTCGGTCAGCGAACCCTGTCACCACTTCCCCAACTCCCCTCTGTCCGTGCCTGCACAGCTTGACGATGAATAGGCATGTTTCCACATTGGATACTCGATAAAGGAGAAAAGGCACTCTGGATAAGTTATCGACAGGAGTCACAGGACCCCAAACTATCAATTCTCGGGAATGAATTTCAGAATGACTCGTCGCCAGCAACAAGGGCCAGAATGGAAATCGTATACGGCGACTCAAGGTTTCCGATGATATGTGCGATGTCCATCCAGGGCTACTGTTCATCGTAGGCGCATCGGTGCCAAGGACTTGACGATTGCCAGCGCCCTTTTCCCGATGATCCTGAAGGACCGGCACGAGCGCCGAAGTGATCCCCGGCGCGTTTGGTCTATTGGATTCGCCTTTTGCTTGAGTTCCGACCTTGACTTCGACCGCAGCCGGCGAGTGAACCGCCAATGCCAGCGTGGACGTCTCCCCTTCTTATTCGGTACTGGCGCCTTCCGGACGTGAGGGGGCGCAATAGCGAGGATAGCCCTGGTTAGATCATCCTCGAAAGTGAGGAAACCCCTCCCTTCGTTATTGGTCCCGTCGTCCAGCACCCAGCTACTCGAGCTTCGATGATTCAGCTCGCTCGTGCTGAGCCGTGACCACCTCTGTCTTCTGCTAGTCCAGCCATGGTTGTTTCCGTACACGGAGGAATCTCTCTTCGGTCTGCTGCTGAGCTCGGCGCTTGTCCGGCTCGGATCGCTCGGATGCGCACTCCTTGGACTCTTGCTGCCTGCACTGCTCGTCTCCTCAACGACTGGACTCAGGGACGGCCGCGTTGACCTCGTGTAGCCATTGCCATACACGCTGTTTATGCTAGAGAAGGACTCCGCTGGTGACCGGGTGTGCGATGGACGGGACGGACGTGGGACAGAAGTGAACGTGAGTGTTAGGTCCAGAGGCGGAGGGGTGCTGATGGGAGGCAAGGTCGGAGTAGAGTCGGTCTTTGCGGCATATGTGATTGTCTGCAACTCTAAGGCAGACGAGGGCGGAGGCCATGTGTGAGAATGATGGTAAGGAGGCTTCACTTCGAGAGAAGTGGAGGCTGTCGGGTAAAACGATGGGAAGGGGATAGAGTTGTTGGTCGGGTCGTTGAGTGGCAAGTCTGACCCAACGGCAGAGGACTGATCGCTTCGCCTCCACGACCCCATAGCCTATCAATAACTGTTCTCAGATATCGGCAATAAGCTTGGATGTCTTCGCTTGGAAATATTCCTCGGTGCGTGCCACGTATTCCGGAAGAAAAATGGGTCGCTAAGGAGTGCTGGAGTGGTATGCGATCCAAGCATAAATTGTTACTCGACCGTGGGCCCAGCATGGCTGCGGCATGGAGACCACGAGGCTAAGTCTTTCATAAAAACCGCCCGTGGATCCGCTCTCGGACTCCTCCCCGGAGTAAGGCTAACGTGGCGCATCATGGAAGATCCCAGAGGGAGTGCATCGAAATCCGCAACTGGATGTCTTCAGGTCAGAATAATGAGTGCTGGACCTTACGAGCAAGATCTAAGGTTAGGTTTTAGTTGTGGCGCCCTCCCTGTAACCTGCGGGTTGTCGACGTCACTTACCTGAATTCTCCGTCCTCCAAGTTCCCAATCGTTAGTCCGACCCTGTCTCTTCATTTTGCAGTGGTGTAAGACATGGCTCACCGCAAGGTTAACTGCAATGCGAGGATCATGTGGCTCGTAAGGCCCCTATTACGTGAATCTAGCAGTATCGGCACCATGATCGTTATGTATCTGACCAGCTTGATCCCTTATATGCTCAGTTCCAACCATCACTAACCCAGTTTCTCCCCTGACAAACGACCGCCAAGGGATTAGATATCTACTGTAGATACAGTCTCCCTGGCAGCCGCCATGGACGAAGAGCTTGAGAGCTTTCTGACAGCACATCAGGAGGTCAGACTACTATATAGTATCTTTGGAATTATTTCTGACCTCTCGGGCCGGGTACGTAGTATGGACATTTCAACAATACGGTATTAGTATCTCAAAGCGACGAATCAATATTCGCTCGAGGTTACGGCGAAGCGGTCCGTGAGCATGGCATACCGAATGCTGTGGAGATCAAGGTGAGTCGGTTATAAATTAGGGGAGGCATTGGTTCTGCGGGCCCTCACGCTGACTGTTCTGTGTTCTCCCCAGTACAATATCGCTTCTTATACCAAGCAGCTTTGTGCAGAGACTGTCCTACGACTGGTCCAGGATGGTAGACTGAGCTCGGAGCAAACTATCGACAAATGGTATCCCGAGCAAACGAGTGCAAGTAAAATCACAATCTACCATCTCCTCACAATTCCTTCCGGTACTATTTCTTGGGAATGCTCTTCCCCGCATGCTATAACTCGCATTCAATGATGTACAGGTATACCTAACGTCACCGTAGTCGCTGGCAGTGACAAAGTGGAACACTGGCGCGCTCGTCGCTCTGGCTTCGCTTTATTGGAACCGATATATCCCGCGCGCGCGGTCTCCCCGCACTCTCATCTACAAGTGGCGATTAGAGCAGGAGTATAACATGAAAGCCAAAAACGGCGGGAAGGGGATGAATGACGAAGCTGTCAAGGCGTGGATATCTCTCCCCCTGCCTTCCCTGCTTGCTTTCTTCTGACCGTTGTCACTGTCTATGCATATGCAGGTTCGTAGATCGGTACATCCCCGGCTACATGTTCTTCCAGGTTGGTGTAACAGAAGGTACCCATAAAGGGTTTTATGCGATCTCGACGCACGATCACTCATCATTTTGATTGCGTCCAGGATACGTGATCCCACGACGGGGGAGCGCATCGCTCCCCCGTGGGTAGGCAAGGGCCCCCGCGTGCTCATCGGAGAGGAGAGGCAGGTGGTGGGCACGGAGGCCCTGGCGTTCTAGAGGAGGGCGTGAATGGTCTGTACTGTTCTGTATCTTTTTGCTGTGCGATGCTAGTCAGTGCCCTCTGACGCTGGAAGCAATGCTCGTCCTAACTTTTGCAAGCTAGTGGAGACTATGCGCGGCCGTATGCATTCCCCTATGAGTGACACTCTGAGTCCTTACGGGTGTTGTCATCTTGTTCTTGTGTTCTTTCCTGCTTGCTTCCAGAGCGAGGATCTGCCGACTGTTCTTCATCGGATAAGCGTGCTTGCTGATCTCAGGCGAGTCATCGAAGCCATGCAAAATGCTGGACTGACTCTCGCCTCCCTCGACTTGCCTGATTCTCCGGATGCACCCAGAATTATGCCTCCCAGCCTTGTGCCCATAAGCTATACATTCACAGTCCTACATCGGATGGACGTATGAGCCGCTCGCTGGGTAGTTGAAGGTTCGCGCTTCGCTTGTAGGATCCGGCAAGACGCTCTGCGTATCGTTGTTCGCAGAGCTTACTTCGGTCCAACTCTGTCAAATTTAGAGCCTTGTTTCGGGATTCTTACGCTGTCTGATACTGAGGAAGTACAAGGAGAGCGGCTAGCGTATTCGTTTGAGAATCATTCCTAGGCGTGGAGCCACCTCTGAGGCTAGCTCAACCATGAAGCTCAGGCTGGACATGACATGGGGACGTCAGGTCGATCAATCTCGTCGACTCCATTGGGAGAGCCACAACTGGAGTGTTCGAGATGCAAGCACGCATTCGTTGATAAAAGGACTTCGTAAACAAAAAGAACACATGTACATTGGACAAGGCGCAACAGTCACTACTAGTTGAGGACGCAGATTATGTAAGCGAGTCGCGCAGCGGATGCGCCCAGACGGTTGCCCGACTAACATATTATCTTATTTTTGAATATTGCTAGTTCAGCGGTTAGTGTGATGGGTTATCTCAGATGCAATGATGTGAGATCAAGGTTCAATCCCACCCATGGATAATATTTTTCACTTGTGATGATTCTAGTTGTCTTCACTCCGTAACGCAACTTGAAAATTTTCTTTTGTTCTCTGTCTCATCATGCAGTCATTGCAAGGCGCCGATATTGATGACATTGTGGCACTTTGAGTCCGGACAAGGGCCAACCTATACACAAAGCCTTCACTTGGTATTATACTTTGGGGTTCAGTTTCAAAAAATTAAAACTACATGTGTACTGATATACAAAACCATTCAACTTCTCATGATCATGGGAGGTGGTGTTACCGGTGTACGAATGAATTGCAGTGAGTACACAACCTCCTCACCGCCTTAGGATTCCCATTCCGAAGCGAGTCGCCCCGACTTCAGACGAAGTCCCTCGCGACGCTGCGGGTTACCGCACAGTGTCTCGACCTTCCATTTATAGCGACTCGCGTCCTTAACTTTGTAGGGAGGATTGCACTTTCTGGACCTGCTCTTGCAGTGGTATTGTCTCTATGAGTAGGCGAGCAAGCCGACTAGAGCTGTTACTGATACTCTAGCCATAGGACCCCTGATCCTCACGATAACCACAGATGCCATTTCCGACTCTTACTCGAAATCTTGATGTCCGGAGAGCATCCATCAAATCTGTCCAAACTGGGTGTCAGCTTGAGGTATGTTTCGGAAGGTGTTTTGCGTCCAGTGTGAAAAACGTCGACTAGACCGACTTTTCCTCTCGAAAAGCTGCCCTGCAACACCCAAGGCAGCCACCGCTGCAGCTCGAACACACATATATTCGTAGCCGTAAGTACAGAGCCACATGTATTGCATGCCCTCTGTTCGTCTCCCGGGACGTATCCTCAACGCGCCAGCCAATCAGCGACCGATTCAGCCTCAAAAAGGAGCAGTGCTTCCTTCCCATATCTGTCGGTCAAGTAGGCTCTGAGAACGTTGGAATAGGCTTTGATCCAACCGGTGCCGCAGGTCTGGTTTCGGGTAGGTAAGGACCTTACCGACTTTCACTTAGGCTGGCATCTACGGGGCATGCCCGAACGGAAGATGTCTAGAAATCACAGGCTTCCGCTCCATGCAGCCCATTTATGACCGATCCTGACAGCCCTCCATACCATAGGTATCCTCTGGGGTCCTCCAGCAGCATCCATCTCGTGGGTCCTCCAATTTTGAATACCTCAGGCTGGCGCATTCTGTTCCATTCCTTCGAATCCTCATTGTTCAGATGATGCACCGCGTCCACGAGAACCTACAAATATATTGACGATTGTCTCGCCAGATGCGGAAAAGTGGGGGAAGCTGATTGCAGGTATGACTCGGACCAGCAGCGTGCATAAAAGCGTGAGGTCTGTGCGGAGGATGGCCATCTCCACCCCGTCAACTCTGACGCAAACTATGGCTGATTTGCTGGATCTGGACCCGCCTAACTTCATTGTAGACAATGCAGTTCTGGCCCTACCCCAGTTGATTTATACTATGTACGGTATATCATACGATTTGGACACAAGAGCTATCGAGCGTGAACTCCCGAATGGATGGAACTGCCGCCGCGGTGAGTCGTTGAACACTCCCTTGTCTCAAACGTGATGGCACAGTTGATTAATATTCTATGGTAGCATCCATCTACAGACAGATCTGTACCTTTCTCACCGCCAGTGGTTACCAACACCAGCAGGGATCTGTGTGGCAATTCGCAAACAAGCCCTGCTCCAGCGTGTGGGAGGATATGGCTTTGCTTCGGGAAATCATCAAACCTCATAGCTTTTTGCCACAGTCGTCAAGAACATACAAGTTTTTATAATCGACCCGTTGTCTCTGATGGCTACTGGCCGCGTTCGACTTGGTGGGAATGGGGCACCAGAACTGCTTGGGCCCACACCTTACGGTCTTGCAATCAGTGCTCCGGTATTCCCAAGATTCCATATGCCGGCTGGTTGGCCGGAAAACCCGCCCGTCCTCCCTGATCGGGTCAGAAGCAGTCCGGAGGCCCACAGTCGTGCAAATTGGAGGCACGGGGTTAATGTGCAGGCCAGACCTCCTTGATGAGTTTCCTTGAACGCAAGCATAGTTTATACCGGTGTGTTCCTCGTTCCTTTCGCGAATCCCCTTTCTCATTTTATCTCTTTAGAGTACTTTTCTGCCGTACCTCGCCAGCGATACTAGTAGTACTTTGCTATATGTCTCCGATTTTGCGACGTAAATATGTAACAATGCTGTGTACAGTATTGGTGAACGCGCTACGCCCTGTTTACTCAAGTTTCCTAAGTCCTGACCCATATGCGAATAACCCCACCTATGTTTCTGCCGTCATACTCCGCTGTTGCTCTTGACGTAAGGTCCAATACGCCCCAGATGAAATAGAGAGGCGTTGGCATACCTCCTTGAGCTCTCCCTGGGGTATTTGCTCTGCGGTTACAATATTGTGCACGTCGCCTAAGTATTTCGAAGTTCGACGTCGACGCAGACCTCTTCCCTCCGGTGGAGCCTTACTAGTAGGGATCGCCAAACTTCACGTTTATTTCTTCGGGTCCCTGTAGATATGAAGAAAGGAGGGACGAGGAAGACCTAAATCGGTGCTTACCGGCTCGCGTCTATGGCGCCAGTAATCATGGAGCGCAAAGATGCGGCCGCATGTAGATGGTGATGTGTAGCCGGTTAGAGGGTTATCCTGGATCCAAGTGAAATGTCGAGCGGGACGCGTATCCGAATCGCGTCCGGACACGTGACCATGATTCACTATGTCCCTAAACCCGGATAACTCTCTAACCGGCTACACATCACCATCTATGTACATGTGGCCGCATCGTTGCGCTCCATGAGAATGGTAGGAGCTCTTGCAAAATTGCAAGGATCGATGGTCACATACGTGACTGGTCTGAGCTCGCAGACCAGCTCACCTACACAGACGTGTGCACCTGGCGAACAGGCGTACCTGAGTGGGAGGCGCACGGCACTAGAGGTCTACCCAGCGAAGGAGCGTAAAATGTTGCAGCTATTTGTCGCGGACTTCAGCCCTTGGAAAATGAATGCTCGCTTGGCTCCAAGGGGTGGACAATAATAAAATTTTAGACCGCATGATAGGAAATCCTGCTAAGGTCCCAGAGGCCCCCCCCTCCCCCCCGTGGGAGCGTCCCACGGTACCATATCGGGAAGGTAGGTCCCAGGCACATCCAGGTTAGGGTTTGCTTAGTCATCTTTCAGTGCTCCCATACGTCACTCTATTGTCACACTATATGTTGTCACGCTTTATGTTTTCTTCCGTGCAATGGCCAAGGCGAGGTTGTCCTGGCTAATAAAGCCCTGTAACCCTCACTAGCAAGCAATTTTAGTACCACCTGTACCGTATCTCTGCCATCAGGGCTGTCACAGAGCCAAATCTATTTTTAATAAATTCCTGTTAAGGCCCTCGAGACCCCCCCCTCCCCCCTTCATGCGGTCTCGGCTTCTCCCGGTGTCCACCCCTTGCTTGGCTCGCAAAAAAGCATACGACTACACTAATCATAACACTGTACATCTATAAAAATTACTACGCAGAGGTCTTGCAACAGAAACACTTGGCACTCTATGAAACAGCTCACGACTCACAACTTCGCATGCTCGCCCTTCGGATACACCCCGTACGGATTCCACTTAAGCGCCTTCGGGTTTCTGTACACGTCCTTAGTAATGCTCTGGTACCCCGCCACTGTCATCGTGATATCCAAATCCTATTTCATTATCAGCGACAGCCCGCCTCCGTGATCACAGGACGTAGACACTTACAGCAAGCAGGGACTTCATGACGTGCCTGCACCCCGCCTCTCCCTCGTGTGCCATGCCCCAGACGTACAGCCGCCCCACCTGGACGGCATCAGCGCCGAGCGCGATGGCTTTGAACACGTCCGAGCCGGTACGAATACCGGAGTCAAAGATGATCTTCATCTCTGCATCACGAACAGTCGTCAACTTCGGTCCGTGTTATAGAATTTGGGGCCAGTGACACTCACTGCCTCCGACTGCCTCGACGATCTCGGGCAGCATCTCCAGGCTGCCGACGGCCCCGTCGACTTGGCGCCCGGCGTGGTTGGTGACGACGATACCCTCGCACCCGACCTCGAGTGCCTTAAGTGCATCCTCGGCACTCTGGATGCCTTTGATGAGGAAGGGCCGGCCACCTGAGATTTTCTTCCACTATCGCCAGGAGCCAGTCAGGTCTTGTCGCAAACCGAGCAGAAGTGGCAAAGGAAGTCGCACATACAGTCTTAATGAGCCAAGGCATCTTCTTCCAGGTATGCGCCTTCCCGTGCCACACGGACGAGTCGATCCATTTACCGCTGTCCGTCTCAAGATCCTTGCCGTACTTCTTCATGAAGACCGGGTCGGAGGCACCTAGCTCGTTGCCGACCTTACCAGGAGGGTAGTAGAAGCTATCGTGATGCACATCGGTAAGCAGGGTACCGTACGATTACGAGCCCCAGTACGAGATACATACACGTAGTTTGCGAGGTTAATATCCGTCGGGCGCCACCCGAGCTGCCAGGTATCGACGGTCAACATGCACACATCGAATCCGCTCTTCCACGCGCGCTCGAGCAAGCTTACGGTCTACAGTATATTCTCAATATGGTTTTCCTCATATGAGGGTTGGTGCGTGACGTACCACTTCGTCGTCATGACCCATGTACAGCTGGAAGAACCTCGGAGATTTCGCGTTACCTCCATTCGGACCGTTGTACGAGTGCACGCTGTTGCTCTCGTTCTTGATAGACGCACCCTCGTCGTTGGCAGCTGCGACGTCTTCGATTGACTGCGAGGCTGCAGTTGACAGGCAGTACTACATAAAGCTTGTTGAGTTCGGGGAAACCTAAGGGATGCTGGAAAGTAACCCACCGGTAGACCAAGCTCGCCCGCTATCTTGGCGGGGACGAGTTCACCGTTTGAAGAGTACAACTTATTTATCCCAATGGGGGCAAAGAGAATAGGCGCAGGAATGCGATGGCCAAACAGCTCCGCTATACGCATGCATTCTGTCAACTCTTCGGTTCTCAACAGCCAAGTCGGAGACTCACTTGTAAGGTCCCGGGTGTTTGTGTCCACAAGCATGCGGGGAATGATGCGCCATCGGTAGAACGCCTCCCGGTTGGCTCGGTCTGTCCATCCAAGCCCCGCGTTCGAGTTCGCGTAGAAGTACCCGCGGTCATTCAGCTTCTTCTTTGCGGACTCTACGAGTTCCTCAGCGTGGACAGAGAAACTGGGCACTGCATGGTTTGATAACATTACTCTGAGTTCTAGCTCAAAATACTACGCATATACTCACATATTCCAGTTTCTCCACCACGCTTGAACATCTCTCGCTGGTACAGCGAGTAATGAGGCGAAGGACCCTTCGGCTTGTTAGTCGGATCCATTGCTAATATTCAGGAAACGCGAAGGGCTCAAGAAAGCGGTGGAAATAGGATTGGGGGTTGTGGAGTATCGTCTCGTTCAGCCCCCATTTTATATGTTTTCCCTAGCAGCAGCTGAGCTATTCTTGCCATGTCGGGATGAGGCAAGGTATGAGATGCAGACAAGGCTCAGCAGCAGGATACGGACGTCATCGCTCGTGACCGTGGAAGAGCACATCGCGGAGACGGAACGGAGGTCGAGGGCGGCGAGCACAACGGAGACGGCGCGTCTTTCCCTCTTGACATGAGGAGCTCGCGTCTGCGCTGAACGGTCTTCCGTCTCTTACTGCGACGTTACAAAGCAGAGCTCCATGGCTGCTCGGCACGCCGACTTGAACGACGGATCACTAGCGTCGCATGCCGAAACGCATTGGAACGACGAACCATGCAATGATCTCGAAGGAACAACCGCTGTGCCTCTCCTGATAGGATGGAAGCAGCTCCTAGGCAAGGTGGAGGAAATATGGCAGAATCTTCCGACGGAGAGCAGTCGAGCGTTGCGGCCACGATGGGCGTCCGACGACGGAACTCTTCACGCCGTACGGAACGACGGGCCTACCGGATGGCATTGTTCAGCTTTCCTGTAGGCCCTCGTCGCTATCATGGCAAATAACGGAGAAACAAGACATTCAAGTGACCGATTGCTGTTTCTCTTGTGTGGCCGGCTCCTGAAATTGGGGTGCAGCGCTACCTTGTCCTGCGATCGAATCACTATGATCTAGAGGGGTTATGGTTCGGTCCGCTGTACTGTTCGTCTGACTTTGTCATGGAATCCTGCGTGCATCGCTTGAATGGCGGCAATCACTGGGCGTCAAAATGACTGAAGACAAGCGTAATGGCTTTCGCGGTCACTCCTGGTGGCAGACGATGCTCTCTGAGGATTAAGTTTTAGCATACTGCACGCTCATAGCCCTGCATACTGATTCCCGTGTCTTGCGACCCAGAATCATACGAAGTCTCCTTAGTGGCTCATACGCATACTATACGGCGGACTCTGGCTTGGCCTACGAGGTGGCGAGGACTAGGCAATGCCGCAAAGCGGGACTGTATGTGCTGGCATTGAAGCTTGAACTCATCCGCGACGGGAAATCTATCAATTCGTGCTAGGCCGAATTGGACTTACCTCTCGTGCTCGCCTACCCCGCATCTCTGGGACGACATATCTCAGTGCAAGCACAAGACCACCCCTGCGTATCTAGGCAACTGCACCGTTTCATGATGCGGATATGGATTCTTTCTGGGGTTGTCTTTCCCGGATCGCAAGAAACGTAGAACAATGGAGACGAAACGAGCACGTGTTGCGCCAATCCTGTTTAGTGACGAAGACGAGGAGGCTCTACTTCCCAGTCTTCCTCTTGAGTCGGTGGAACCGTCGCAACTGGTCGGCGCTCGCGAGTGTATAAGCAAATTGCTCCAATTTAAACGAATAATGGAAGCGGCATGCCACCAGGAAGAAACCTGAAATAACCCAGTCCTCAAGCGTCCCTGGTGTTGGAATTGTATCCACCGAGTGCATGAACTCGACGGTACAAAAAAAACAGTCGTGTTTGAATTTTGCCGGAATGGCCTTCCCTGGTGGCACCTCTGCTGGAGCTGTGTCTGAGCTTGGGAGCCTACATCTATCTCCATTCTGTCTTTCTTCTCTTTGGATTACTTAACGCCCATCTACTATACTCCGCTGTAAGGCACCGGACCTGGCTTTGGCTCGTTATGAACTTGCCTTGTCATGAGTATACGAACTTTTATGTCCCCGCATGTCCTTCGTGCCCAGGCGTCTGTCATAATTGGTCCACCGCGTACCTCCGCGTCGTATAGACTGGTACCGGTGGTATATCATTTCATTTTGGAGTGGGCCTATCCTTCGGCCAAGTCCCATCAATCGATCAGCTCAGTAGGCGTCCCCATTGTTCGACCTCTTCACCAGGTTTTCCCGAGATAACCAGATCCTTAAGAGATGCTGCTACGTGTATTGTTGTGGGCGCACGTTGGTCCCCTCTGGGAGCCCGAGCATGGGCGTCTTACCGGTCTGCAATGGCACGACGACAATGAAGACCGCGACCACGACCAAAACGAGGCTGGCGTTAGAAGTTGTGTCCGAGGTACCACCGTGCCCGCCTGCTCATTTTAAAGTCGATAAACGCCCGCGACTATCTATACCATCGACCCGCATTAGGGCGAGCCGGCACCTGGCCGAGTTCACTCTACCACGACGTCCTCCAACGCACAAGCCTGTGCCACCTCCGTCCACCTCTCCCTGGAGCGGGAATCTCCTTCTCGCGTGCTCCGCACTCCTGCTAGGCATAACCGAAGCTTTCCTAGGTTTCCTTCTACTTATCCCCTCTTTCACTACCAGGCCTGACGCGCAAATCGTTCAACTGAAGAACGAAGCCGCCCTCTGGCTTGTCTACGGCTCCTATGCGTGCTTCGTCAGCGTCGCCATCAGCGGCGTGCTCTCCGCAAGTTGTCTCTACATGGTCGCTGAGGCTCGTCGGTCTGTACTAGAACCCAGCCGGCGGTCGAAAATTGCAAAGATGTTGGCAAGACTCGGCTATAATTATTCCGCGCGTACCTTTCTAGAGGTCCGAGATGAGTGGCAGCTGGCCCTGGCGGATGTCCTGGAGACCCTCGGCTTATTTCTTCTGGGCTTGTCTGCATTTCCGCTCGCTTTCGGCGCTTCTTGTTGTGTACGTCTGGACTATCCTTCAGAGTCAGAGTGTCTCAGCTGAGTCTGCCCCGGACAGGTCATAGGCCTAAGACAGTACGTATTGACTGGTATCGGAAGCGACGTGGTCGCGCTAGGCGAGTTTACGTTGGAGATATCGGCGGTATACACGCTCGGACGCTTACTTCATTCATTCTTCCCTGCTGCCTTTGAATCGTACCTGCGCAAGGAGTACCGGTGTGAAGTCGCCGGGCCGCGGTCGCCGGTGGCTAGGCGGCCCGTTCCATACCCTGACCTCGTCGATCTTAAGGATAGCGCTTTGGCTGCCATAAGACCGCGACCTGCGCCGAGCTTCTACCTCCGGAACACGCCCATATTACGCAGAGGTTGTTCGGAAAATGTTCACCTGTACTCCGTGCATAACGATCTTCGAACGACCTCGATATTGGGTACCCCAAGTCTATGGACGCCCCGGAGAGATCTGGCGCGGTACGCACCAGATGTGCTGCACGTCTCTTAGCTCCGAAAGAAGGGACAATGTTGTGTATAAGTCATGAGCAAGCATGATTCCCTATCGGGGATCGCACTCCTTTGTGCTGCACGGAACCTTATTCCTTTGTCTCTGCTGCATGGATGCCCAGCTCTTAAAGATTGCTCCATGGCTTCAAGCTTCAAGTCTCTTCAGTAAAGACCACGTCCGAATCAGCCCTTATCGCTCGCGACCTCATTTTCCGCATGAAGTCAAGCAGGAAGCCCCGGGAGGAGATGAATCGCCAGGCGCCAGGTCGGATGCATCGCTCGTCCAACGCGATCGCATCGAAGGGCTGCATGGCTCTCATTTTCCTTGCCTTCTGCTCCGCTCTCGTGCAGCTCTTCGCAGGCGGCACGATGCCTTTTGCTACTCGCCTACCTCAAGCCAAGAAGAGGTGTATTGACGAGGACCAATTTACAGATTTTATCTGGCTCGTCAGTCTTGCCCTGCAGGTCACAAGCGTAGCAGGGGCTGTGTCGTGCAGGGTGGCCTTCGGCATTGTTCCGATGGTTCACGCGGCTATCACAGACGGGGGACATGGCTCTTTTACGGCTTGGCTATTGGAGTTATTTGGGCGGAGGTCGGCTGCAGCAGTGTACATACGATATCGTCAAGGGTTCCTCGTGTTCGCCGCCGATCTGCTCTGCGGCTTCGGTATCCTTTGCCTGGGATTTTCGTTTCTTACGATGACAGCAGGGTATGGTATCTCGGTATGTCCATGCACGCATTGCTTCGAGTCTCCTTGTGATCTATACGATGCAGTTGATAACACTACAAGTGTACGCCTGGGTCAACCTGCCGGTGATCTATGCCTTAAATCAGGCGGTCGTCCTCCTGATCCCTGTGGGTGGTCTGGGATATGCGATGAGATGGATCGTGCGCCTCGTCTACGACCAGTTAAGCGACCCGAGGCGGTAGCGGGATAACTGTGCTTAGGGGATGTTAGGATCCGGTGAAGATTGACGGCCAGATTGTTAGAAGTGGTGATGGATTTCGAGGAATGCGTGCGGTATCAGGCATATTTCGAGAAGCTTACAAAATTGTACATGGTCCTCGTATGTCGGTGCGCGAGCCATGACCAAATACATGAGGTGATGCGTGTCTACCACCCGCGAAGGACTACTATACAACCAAGATACAAGACGGTCATAAGGATGGCACAATAAAGATAACGTCGTTCGTTCGCCCTGCGAACGGCGACACTAATATTCATCAGGGTCAGCCAACGAAGCATACTCAGAAATGGACTGTATCTCCTGGTACTCCTGGACAACTTCTCGCATGGCGTAGCGCATAATGGGGGTAGTGGGAACGAGCTTCGGGCCTACAAAGTCGTCGCTGACAGGAGATTCGATGTCGATAGGCGTATCCGGCTCTTCGGGTACAGGTACCCACTCCTCGCCATCCTCAGAGTCGATCATCTCGACAGCAGTACCGCTGCTCCCAGCTGCCTCTTGTCCGTGTCCAAGACCCTTCGGGGTTGCCTCGCGCAGCGGCGCTTCCGGTGTCAACGGATCGGTCCATCGCAAGTCCAATATACGTCCCTTGACCATCCCGTCGATAGCCTGTACACCCATCTCGCGGCACAAGACGAAGTAAGGCAGGGAGTGGGTGCGTTGCTGCGTCAGTCGGTTCATGACCCGCAGGAGCTCGATTGCAGAGAAGTCCGCCGTGTATCCGGGTGCTTCAGTATTGTCCTGGGCGACCTGTGGCGAGTGCGGATGCGTCAAGGGTGAGTAGATCTTGAAGCCGGAGCCGATGGGCGACGTTTGCGGGCTCGCGTGCGTGTTCTCGTGGGCAGTCCGGTCAGACTCTCCTGAAGGCGTCGATGCTTGGGACGAATGAACGATATGAAGATTGAGGAGTGCATGTGCTTGCAGGAAATGCGACGATCGCTTGACTACACGCAAGTCAGAATCTGGGCAGCGAAACAAAACATGAGACGCCCACCTTCTAAATTGCCGCTCGAGTTCACTGTAAGCGACGATCAATATCCATCAACGGGGATTCACTCGTATCGGACCACTCGCCATAGTCTGTCACATAGTCGCTCCAGTGCACCAGCTTGCCACCAAAAGCATCGTACAGCTCCTCGAAATCCAGGTGCGGGCGGAGCCCCTCGGGGACTTTGGGCAAGATCCGATCTTGGAAGAAGGCCCGCATCTCCGTCTTGGAACAATCGCCGATCGTGATGATTTTGCAATGCTGCATAATATTGAGCTGCCTCAGCCACGTCTGGTAGAAGGGGTCGCTCGTCGAGTGTATGACGTGGCAGAGCCTATCCTGCTTCGTCAAGACGAGCATCGAGTCCAGAAGACACTTCATCGCCTCGGTGGAACGGATAAGGGCGGGCCTGGGGGAGGGGGTGAGCGAGGGCGTTGACGACCTACGAGAAATGACCCACAGCTTGTGCGCTTCGTCAAAGAAAATGACGGGCATCCGTTTGGCGGGCGGTGGGGGAGGCGACTCTTTCTTGGGCGAATCCTTAGGCTCCTTAGGCTTCTCGACAATTCGCTCTTTGCCCTTCCCCTTATCATCAGCCACGGTCCGCTGGGGCCGCCTGAAGATGCGACTTGCCCACGATCGCCTGGGAGATGCCTGACCATCCGCAGGCGCTTGGGGAGCTGCGCCGTTCTCGACGTGCGTGGCCTCCGATGCGGTGTCTGCGTCCCGCTTCTGGCCCTGGGCCGCCTCCGCAGTCCCCTCCGGCTGATACTCCCAGTATTTCAAGAGGGCGCTCTTATGTGAACTTCAGCGATTAAGACACGCTGTATGGAGCGATTGGCGTACCTGGAAGAGCTCCATCAACCGCGCAACATCGCTGACTTTCACTTGCGCATTGCCGTTCGGAGCCTCCGCCAATCGACGTTCCACGCTCAATCGGTCGTGCTATCGAAGTAAGGGAGTGTAAGCCCAGATTATCGCAAGACTAGCGCTTGGGTGCACCTTGAAGCCCCAGGCTTCCTTCTCGAACTCCTCGTACCCCTTCAAGGATTTGCTGATGGCTTCGAAGTACATCTCCATCTGCTGACTCAAGCTCGTGTATAAGCTGCCCAAGTCAGCGAAACCGGCGATTCGCAAGTCGAAGTGGAGGACATGGTACTGATCCCGCGATAACACCTCCCGAAGCAAGGCAGTCTATGACATGCGTGGTGAGTACTAATAGGAAAGGAAGGAACAGCACGGACCTTGCCGACGCTACTTGCGCCAAAGAGGACAGTGAATGTTGGCTCTCCTTCGAGTGCCCGTTCGATGGCTTTTACCTCTGTCGGTCTCGGGAAGAATCCCGGCAGCCGAGAAAAGGTATGTGCTGGTCGCAGTTGTGCGCGCTCACGGTTCTCAGAGATTTCGCGACGTGCCTCTTCCAGAAGACGCCGAGATTCCGTGAGCGAACGGACAGTCTCAGCTGGCTGCAATGCAATGGGAGAGCGCATGAGGATGAACAGAGGTCGGAGTTAGAGGGAAAGTATGCGCACATTGGTAATTACACCAATTATCTCGCCGAGTCCAAAGAAGTTCCGTTTCCGGACATCATTGGGGAGCGGTTGGCCCCGTCGGCGGGGAATGTTGGAACGGAAGAGCCAGTGCATGGGCACGGAGTTGCTGGGCGGCTTCGGATGGTGATGCGAAGGATTTACGAGCTTTCGAGTACCACTGCGTGAGCTTTGCGTACTCTTCGGCATGGATTCTAGTAAGGATTACGTCCCGGACAACAAGTATCAGCTGCCATCATAGTAAGAGGTACGCAGAAGGGTTTGTTGTATGAAATGCACGACATCTCACCAGAGTATAAAGCACAATAGTTAAGGTAAATTGCAGTCCGCCCGGCGGTCGCTGACCAGAGGTTATGTCGAGGAGAAGGTAAACAGGCAAGATATATAACACGAGGCCCACTCACGTCGAACAGACTGCATCGCCGCAGCCATAGCCTTTAATTTCGGCCCTCGCCTTGCGGAATCAACCAGAATCGACGGGGCCATCACAACGTGCTGGCGGCCAGCCGACGAGGAGCATGGAAAACGCCTGCGTGAAGTCGTAATCCAGGAGCGCGTCACAATGCACGCGACGTGCAAGGGTCGTCAGGTGACGGGCAGCCGTAATCATGTGACAGCCGTGTGCGACGCGCCTCGGTGGCAATGGAGAGGTGAACCTTTGAGAACAACTTTGCTCACCCGTCGGATATCTGGAACTCATGCATAGACACCTCTCATAGCGGCTTTCCTTTGCTTACAATTGTTTTAGTCATTTCCTTCAACAGCTGTCCGCCCCCACGAGTGAACTGACATATCTCCAGGACCACTTCAACTTCATGTGTAACTTACCAAATCGAAAGATGTTCTTCGTCTTTCTGATCACCTTATCAAGCGTGTCAAGGATACCGTCAAGGGTTCTCCCGCTGATTAGTTTGTTGGCGATCGAACTGTGAATTTGGCCGCTACGATCCTGGTACACAGACTTAAGCTTACTAACGACCATCTGATGGTACTTATGTATTTTCTGAGGTCTGTCAGGCTCTAAAGCGCAGGTCAACTGAATCCTCTAAAGAACGTGACGAGAGTTGTATGCAACAATGACACGTCCGCCCGTCTGTCCTTTGCCCTACGCCTTCACGAGTCTACTGATTTTAACATGTCGCGCGAGTGAAAGATTGGAACGCTTTCTCTGGATCATCTGCACCGAAAGTGCTCGCAGATCTTTGTGAAGCATGTTGTGGCGCGTCTTCCTCAAGGAGCGTGTTATCGATGGTTGGAGCCCTTATTCCCATCCATGAATATTAAAGCCGCAATAACGGACTACTGATACAAATGGTGAGTCGTTGGGCCACTACCGAAACCCCAGGACCGACAACGGCGGATCTACGAGGGATCCAAGGGCGCCCTGGATAAGCTCACTGGATCACTGGGCTCCATGAGCTTGAACGCGCAGTCCAAGCGGTCCTCCAAGAAGGATAAAAACTCGCTGGATGACATGTTGACCGAGAAGATGCCCAGTCGTACTTGGAGGAGTCTCCTAGAGATTCCAATGACCCTCAGGAAGGACGTGATATCAAACTTAGGGATCAGAGCCGGCCCTTATCGTCGAGATCGAAGCCCGTCACAATCACGAGTTGCGCGGAGGACAAAGACAATCAGGCGGACGATGCGGCTGGCGACGCGATACCAGCCTTGGATGAGGATGTTCCCAGCCCGAAAAACTTGCTGAAGTTCAAGAAGCCTGAGTCGGCAGGCCACCCATTGATCTCAGTATTGCCCAGGGTCAGGTGTTGCCGAGAAGAAATCAGCCTTTGGAATGAGCATAGGATGATCCTAGTCAGCGTCGAGCCAGTAAGTACTTCGTATGAATTATCATAAATGAACTAATGAGAACGTGATAAAAACGATACTCACCTTGAATTTGCAAGGGAGTGTAATCCGAGTGTCTACGCATCTGTAGAATCTGAGGCCCCCGAAACGTATATAGATACATATACCAATACAACAGCACGAAGCGCGCATGCGAAAGCATAAATAGCGGCGACACCAACGTTTCTACCCTTTGTTCATCACTTTCAGTTGCTGGGCAAATCACCTTCGTCAGCAACCCAACGCACAGATAGTATAGCCGACGCACCAGATTGTCCACGTCCTGCTGTAGGAGTGCCATCTCCTTCTCTAGCCGCTCTCTCTGCTGAACCAACATCTGCAGGCGTCGATTCTGCAGCTTGTCAGCGGCTGTCGTCGTACCCACTGCTGGCCGTGCGCGCGATGACGGTCGTGACTGAGCCGTCTCGGCCTAGACATTACCGCAGTTAACAACCGAAACCACGAAGTGAAAGTGGATGTTGCACCTGAGCTTGTAGGGTGCTCTGCTTCTTTCTCAGCGCTTTGAGACCCTTCTCGGCTCGAGATATGAGCTCGTTGATCTGCGGCTCGATCTCCTCCGCCAGATCTGCCTTGTACTTCCGCACCGTCCCGTCATCCACCAGCAAAAATACCTGGAGAGCACCATCAGTCTCGCACAGTTGCTAGCGACCTGACATGGGCGCACCTTCTGGTTCTCCAGCACCCTGTTCATCCTCGGCAGATCATACGTCCCGTTCCTGAGAAGCTGCTGGGCATCCGCTGCCTATATGGTGCACAAAGCACTTTCTCAGAGGTTAAGGATGAACGACTGTGTTGCTCTTAGACTCACTTGTTCCGCGCAGGATTCCATAGCTGAGACGCAGTCGAAGAGGTTTGGGCTGCATATTGCGTCTCTGTCACCCCGATAAGCGTCTGGGCCTGAGGCAAACACGGAGTCCCTTGGTCGGGGACGTATAGAAAACCGCGACATCGACATATTTCAGTGTTTCGAGTGTCCGAAACAGAATCAGAGTGCCAGTGCCGCACTGGCAGTTTCAATGAAAGAACCGTCGCGATCGCGCATGCGCCTCCCCTCAACTGCATCACGTGCACATTCGAACTCCGCGCTTCCTTCTCGATAAATATGTCGTCCGCAATTTTCGATTTCCTTCAAGTGTCCGTCCACTCTCCGAAGCGTCAGTCCCTCCTTGGGACGCAGTTCTACTGGTGACGTGCATCTCTAGGTGGGCGGAGCGAGGCGCCCTCGGGTGCTCACGAGAACGAGCGTCCTCATCAGCTTCCCTTCCGCTATGGGGCTGAGTCCGCCTTCGGGTGTTGATTCGCCTCGGGAGGTCGAGGTTGGTGGGGGCGTGGCGTTATATTCCTGTACCTTCCGTACCCCCCTCTCTCCGGAGAGGGTGCTACTATGTAGCTTTTACGGTTGGGTGAAACCATAACGCAGACAAATCGTATGTTGACTGTCTTGTAAACTGTATTCTTTCGTTGCAATGGGACCTTGTTCTTGGTGTCTGCAGACGTCCAATGTCCAATTGAAGAACTATAGGCAGCTTGCAAAGCAATCAATCCTATGTGTACTGCCGTCTACTGCTGTTCGAATCAAATTGAAAGCATCTTTTCATGCAGATTCGGGTTAGGGTATGCCACAAGGTTGACCGGTTGACCAATGAGCGGACGCTGACAGACTCTCTGGAAGTGCGGCTTCGGTAATGCGCATCCCCCCAGCCTTGGACTGTGATGACGGGATCACATCATTCGAGCTGAGGGAAAGTGTAGGTTCACCCGGGGCATTGTACTGTGGGGTTCGAAACTTCCGAAACCTCTGGGCAACAGCTGCCCCACTTTTTTGATTCAGAGTTTATTGTGCGGAGGAGCTGACCCCTTGAAGCACCTTCTAGCAACGAGGGACTTACTGGCGACACCCACATGCCGGAGACTTTCTGTGACGGATTCAGGCTTATTGGACTGAGGAGCTGTGGAAGCCTCATCACCTGTCGGTTATTCTCAGTGCTCATATTTCTTCATCCCCGTCCTTTCTATCCCCAGAATGCATTTCCAAGGGCTCGCCCCCTTTACAATGACAATGCAGCTTTGTCTGAGGATGTTGGTTCCTGGAGGCCGAACTCCGTTCACTGCGGCCATTACGGGACTTGGGTATGCTCAGATTCTTGTCCCAGTCTGGAGGCAAGTGGCGACACTCCCCCAGCCAACTAGCTCTATACTCGGGATGGGGTGTTGCTTTGCCTGTCCAGAGTAGCCGATGTCCGCAGGTATGCCGTTGCCACACTCGTGATTCGAAGCAGGTCGTCATCTTCCGCTACGTACCTACTCCCGATGAACGATCTCTAACCTGAGGCAAGTGGATCTGATCCCGCGCGTCCTCGCCGTTCCATGGACAGTCAATAGGAGGAGTCCTGACTCGCGTGGGCTGCGCAGGAGAAGGTCTGCACGGTCTGCACCGCACTCGTCTGACTTATTGTATCTAGCGGGGATTCCTTGGTCATCGCTGCGACCTGTGAGAATGCGGTCTATACTTGCCATAATGCTCGCCGTTTTGCGCAACGGAAAATATATAGTAGCACAGCGTGCACGATTTGAAGTGAGTCGGGGCTGTTAATGTATGCGTCAATGGACTATCCCCCCCTCCCGGGAGACGGCGTCTGGTCAGAAAATGTAAGAGCCTGGGGCCCGGTCGATAGGCCTCTCGTATCTTTACTACACGGTCGTGCTGGAATAATCAGCGCACCGCTTCCCGCATACCGCTGACTTCTGTCTGCAGTGGCGAAACCGACCAAGGATCGTATCGAATCATTCATCCAGAATGGTTGTACCAGGACATGTAATACATCGGAACGGCTCGCATCCATATGCATGCGTATCTGTCGTGTTCTCTTCGGTACGCAACAGTGTGGACTTTCACGTGTTTCTATTCGCGTCAGCTCGGGCCTCGGATGCCGCGGTCGTACCGTGGGATCCTAGGACGCGCTCCGTAGTTTAGCAGGTTTTTATGGAGAGCGCGATTGCGCTGGGTACATACTCAGATATGTAATGCAGCAATTGTATCTGATCAGTGTGGTTTTCAATGTTTTTATAGAAGAAGCGTTTTTATTAGCAGAAAACAACTGAAGCTACTGAGCCCTCAGCCTGGTCAGGCTGCGTAGCATATTCCGGCGGCGAAGCGACGACGGGTGGTACCGCAGTGATGCGCCGCCGTATCTGGTAAATGATATGACAAGCGGAGGTGCCGAGCAGCAACGATTCAACAATGACGTTCGCGTCAGCCTCAACGTCCTCGACCTAACCCTCTGGCTCATTTTTACGTCGACCGCTACGCCTGCGAGGCATAAAGCCTTTTATTCGACAGACGGCGCACATCGTCGCGCTCAGCCCTGGACTCTGCCCCGTATAGCCCGGCCATCAATCAACACCTGCAAACTCCGCAGCCCGCAATAATGAGCGAGAAACATGAGCTGCAGCAGATGGACGCGACAACATCGGACAAGGGCGACGGGATGCCCTCGTTCAAGCGGCACTCTCGCACGGGCAGCCGTGTGCATCTTAACCTCGAGGACCTCAACGCGTCCACGATAAATATGGACATTCCCATGTCACCGAAGGTGCCCGACGCACTACCCACCCATGCACGCACGCCTCGCAGCAGCACATTCGACTCGCCGGACTCGCCACGACCATGGTACTCCCTGAAGGACTTTTACGACTCCGAGCCGTTCTGGCTTATCATGTATTTCTGTTTCAACCTTGGCTTGACGCTGTATAACAAAGGCGTGCTTGTCCGATTTCCCTTCCCGTACACGCTCACCGCTATCCATGCGTTATGCGGATCGATAGGCGGGTACTTTCTCCTGGCAAGGGGGATGTATGTCCCTGCGAAGCTATCGTCGCAAGATAACGCAGCACTGGTGGCGTTCAGCGTCCTCTACGCCATGAATATCGCAGTTAGCAACGTATCGTTGCAGCTTGTTACTGTACCCGTGAGTCTTGGATGTGTATATGCGCGCGATTCTCCCCTGATCTTCCCATAGTTCCACCAAGTGGTCCGCGCGTCCACGCCTATCTTCACAATCTTCCTTTCATACCTCTTCTACGGGACGCTGTGCAGTCGAGAGAAGATGATTTCGCTTATACCCGTTATCGTCGGTGTTGGCTTTGCGTAAGTCGCGTACCATACCGCCATTGGGTGCCTTATCTAACTCTACCGCAGAACATACGGCGACTATTATTTCACGACCTGGGGTCTGATCCTAACCCTCTTCGGCACCTTCCTCGCGGCCCTGAAAACGATCTTCACCAACGTCCTCCAGTCACCTCCCATCTCGCCACTATCTCCATCCACGCCCGCCGCCTCACCACCACCCAAGTTCACGATGCGGTCTTTCCTCCCACCGCGCTTGCACCTGCACCCGCTCGACCTGCTTACGCGCATGAGTCCCCTGGCGTTTATCCAGTGCGTCCTGTATGCGCAGCTCTCGGGCGAGCTCGACAGGGTGAAGGAGTACAGCGCGCGGGAGATGACGGGCATGCGGGCTGCGACGCTGCTTGTGAACGGCGCGATTGCGTTCGGGTTGAATATTGTGAGCTTTACGGCGAACAAGAAGGCGGGGCCGCTGAGCATGACCGTCGCTGGTGCGTTGCCATTGTACTATGTTTATATCGGATTTGTGCTGACGTGAATCGAACGACAGCGAACGTGAAACAGGTGTTGACGATCGCGCTGGCGATGTTCATCTTCCACCTGCCGCCGAGCATGACGAACACGCTTGGGATTGTGCTGACGCTCTTGGGCGGGGCGTGGTACGCCGCTACCGGATACGAGGAGAAGAGGAACCGGGCGCGCGCTGCGGAGAAGTCGTAGATCGCATACAGCATACATCGATCATCTCGAACATCCTTAGACCCCATCCATCCATCTAGCCATCCAGCCACCACCGCCACCACCCTCCTCGAGTCATTTACAGCTGCTACTAACGACTAGCATACGCTCCCTTGGGTTAATAAGTTATACGACACAATTTTGTGGGATTCGTTTGTTTCTGAGCTACATAATGTATTTTATGTTTTGTACATGTGTAGCTAGTTTGTGTTCTTGCCGGCAGGCGCTCTAGAAGTGTTGTCGTTTAATCTGTACCTCGACTATTTATGTCTTTTCTGTGAGTGTATATACATCGTATCAGTATATGTCGGCGAAAGGGGACAAGTACGTTGACCAGGAAGAATCAGAAATAAATTCACAGCTACTTTGTGGCTTGCGGACGCGACAGTGTCACGCGTGCACGTGCCCTGTGACGCGCTTCTGTCACGCGTTAGACGTGTTTGGCTTTATTATTCGATCACCATTGCTCTTCTTCCGCCATCGCCCAGGCTCGCACACAATAATACCTCCTCGCCTGTAGCCCCTACAACCGCAACCTGGATTCCAGCATTCCCGCAATGCCTGGCGTCGCGAGCGACCACAAACGCGCGAGCTCGGCGCAGCTCGCGGAGGAGCGACCCGCGAAGAAGCTGAAAACTGACGGGAGTGGCGAGCGCAAGGAGAGGAAGCGGAGGAATAAGAAGAAGAAGAAGGTGCCAGTGGTAAAGAGGGAGGAGGAGAGGGCGCTGCCGGTTGCGTCTGGCTCGGGGTCGGAGGTGAAGGCGGAGGAGACGACGCTGGAGTCTGCGGCTGGCAGTCCAGTGTCGCGCTTGCATGGAAGTGATGGTGCCTTACCCCAGGGATTGGTGAATGGGAAGGGTACGATGCTGAACGGCGCTGGTTCTCATGGGTCGGTGCGTGCATACCTTCTCTCGTCTACTGATGCGTGGGTTGACGTTCTATCAGAGCCCAAGTGGATCTGCTAAGGGCAAGGAGAGAGCGATCGACGAAGATGGATTGAAAGAGACCAACGATCAACTCAATGACGAGCTGTCAGCTAAGGCGAAGGTGCGCTTGGCGCTCGCATGTCGTATCTCATCATCAAGCTCACCATATCTGCAGCTTCTTTCACAGCACACGTCCCTTCTGGGACAACTCCAGCAATCGCTGACCTGCCAAATCTGCCTGGACCTCCTCTACAAGCCTTACGCGCTCGCACCGTGTGGGCACGTCGCGTGCTATACTTGTCTCGTGAGGTGGTTCAAAGGCGAGGGTGGCGAGAATGAGAGGCCAGCGATCTTCAAGGCCAAAAACTGTCCGCACTGCCGTGCACCTGTGAGGGAGAAGCCCGCGTTGGTGTGGAGTATCAAGGAGATGGTTAGCATGGTCGTCAAAAGCGGCCTCGTAGAAGGATTCACTTCTTTACCGGAGGACCTCCCACCAAGAGCGGAAGCTGCTGTCGGTCCACGCCGCGGACGGCAGCCCGATCCCTGGGATGGGATCTTCCGTTCCTCAATCAACTTTGGCCACGGCATGCCCGCCTTGCCACACATCGCACAGATGTTCCAGCCACTCGGTGCCAACGGATTGCCCATCGCCGCGATCCCGTTACCGCAAAACCCCGTGACCATGGGTATCCGTGACGAGGAGGACGGTGGGATCTACCGCTGCAATGATTGTCTGCACGAGATCGCAGACGGAGCCTGCACGTACTGCGGGCGAGTATACCCCGGGCACGCGCATCACCCGCACGCACATCTGCATTACGACGCGGAGGGGTACGGCGACTTCGACGACTTCGATGATGGCAGCGATGGGGAGTCGGTGTTTGGCTGGGGCGAGGCGGCGCCGCTGGGGTGGTTACCGGTTGGGCTGGACAGCTCGGATGAACACTCGCAAGCTGACGATGATGAAGGACCGCCGCGGCGGTATGGACTTCGTGCTATTGAGGACGGTGATGGGGATGGGGACGGTGGGGACGATGACGACGAGTCGTATGAAAGCAGCTTTATCGACGATGACGACGCGCCGCCGCGGCCTCTCCCGCCTTTCGAGACTGTGCAGGCATTCTTGAGGGACCGTTCACGGTCCGGCGCGCCTGCGCCGGAGGACGAGACGGATGGAGAGAGCCGCTTCGAGGAGGTCCATTCGAGCGCGGAAAGCTCTGTGCGCGGCGTCCGCGGTTCTCCTCCTCATGATGCCCCCGGTCACTCCAGTCGTGAAAGCAGCTCGAGCCCTGGCCCATCTCGTGGCCGCCGGAGAGCTGTTGTCATTGACTCTGATTCAGAGGAGGAAGGCTCTGACAAGGAAAATCAGGATGATGTTGTTCCGTGAGTGCTATTCCGAGATTTCGTTCATCCTTGTTGATTGTTGATGATGTGTCATACAGCGGGCATTCGCTGGCTGACATTGTATCAGCAAGAGAGTTGTACGTATGCCTAACATCCTTAGCGGACTTGGTCTCATCAGTCATTTCCAGTGAGCTGTACGGTGACGATGGTTCCGTCCCGCGCCCATCATCCTCCCGCCGTCGTCTGCCCAGAAGCTCCGTGGTGGAAGATGAAGACGAACCAGATAGTGACGAGTCGCAGTACGGCTACTCCGTCGGCGGGAGATCGCCACCGCGAGGACACTGGCTGGAAGATGAATCCGGTGGTGATCGTGGCTCGGACGAAGAATATGGAGGAAGGCCTTACTTGGGCGATGCTTGGGATGAGGCGGGGGATTATTCCGACGAGCATGACGGGGGGAACTATTTGAGTGACTGGGACTAGCGGAGGTTGTCCGTGCTGCTCTGTATTATAGTCGCTCCTGTGCGCCTCTTATGTGCTGCTGTTGCTTATTTTGTCACTTAATACTACTATATTGCGGCCTTGCATCGACTTCGCTGTGGAACGGTCGAGTTGTAATGCATGACACTGACATGAGTCGCAGCCCTCGAGTTCGGCAGTGATGTGGTAGTAGCACACAAAGGAAACAAGGCACAACAAGGAATACAAGATACAGCAAGGAAAGCGAGGCCCCTCCATCGTCAAAGGATCTCAGGTTTGTATCAGTGCGTACGGCGAACCCGCAAGGGCACCCGAATGCCCTTCTCCCCTGCAAGACGAGGCCGAGGTAGCATTGCCCTTACTTTCTCGATCTCCGTATTTGTGCTGTCCGCAAATTCAAAGGTATAATTCCGAATCAAGACGGACAAAACAGCCTTGAAATTTCAACCTTTTCAGCATTGAATGTACAGTACTAGTCAAGGTAAGACGACACGGACCTTGAACTCGGCAAGTGCGAAGCCTCTGCCAAGGCAGATTCGCGGGCCGTCCATGAACGACAACAAGTGCCGGTATCCCTGAACTTCTTGCACTTTGTGCGGCAGGCCTTCCACCCCGTTCATCCACCTTTCGGGCTTAAACTCGCTTACATCGGGGCCCCAGAGGGATTCCAAGTAGTTCATGCAGGTGATCGGGACGGACACCTGCGTGCCTTTGGCTACCGTGATGCGGTCGATTGTGATCCCTGAGGTGTCTGTGATGGGCGTGCTCAGTGGGATCACGTCGTCTTCTGTAGCCTTAAAGTGATGTTCAGTTTAAATGGGTGTGTTAACGCCCATAAGTGCAAAGAGCTTACCTCACGAATAGCCTCCTCGACTGGCGAGTGGAGTCGGAGGATTTCATGAACTACTCCGTCGAGGTAGGGTAGTTCGGTCATAAGCTGGTCCCAGGTAGGATCGGATGCACCGAATTGAGACGTCAATTCCTCTCTCAGCTTTGTTTGAGCTTCTGGGTGCTTGCACAGCTCGATTAAGGCCCACTGAATGAAAGTAACACGAATTAACTACTTTTCAGCGAGTGGTGGTGCGACGAACGCTCTCACCGTAAGACTGACTATGGATCAGAAGTAAGTCAGGTTTTCTCTCCGAAGAGTGTGATAGAACGTACTAGAGGTAGTTTCATATCCAGCGAAAATCAGTACTTTCATCTAGTAACAGGTTTCATGCTTGGAGTTGCATCACGTCTGAGAAATATGTTTACCTGGGCCATGACCTCCTCAGGGTAAATATATAAGTCGGTGTCAGCATTCTCCGCTTTGACTAGAAGCCAGGTTTGAATAATGTCGTCCATAACGCATCTTGTACGATCACTCACGAAGAAGACCAATGATAGACTTCTCCTCCGTCTTCGAGTCCTCACCATACGTCTGCTTCGTCCGCGCAAGCATGTCCTCAGCGATTTCTGCGACACTCTCGTTCCATCGCTTCGTGAGCTTGGTGCGCTCTGTCGGCAGCTTGGACAGGAAGGGGATTCTGGGCCCAAGGAGAAAATTGACGATCTCGAGGATAGAAGGCTTCAAGTCGTTGAACGCGTCGAACACTTCCGCAACTACTGACCGCTTCCCTTGCAAGGTGCCAAAATTGTGACCAAAACCGGCTATGCCGATGCTGTCCAGTCTGTTGACGAACATCATTTAGCGTGAGCCGGTAGAAGATCTTCGCAACCTACGAAACACAGTTCATCCTGCCACACGGTATGAAATCAGCTATGAGTAATGGGGAGGTGAGAAATAATGCATACCAATGTTGTACATCGATAATAGCTTCATCCGAGGATGAAGAGTCGATAGTAGTGTCCCAAACTTCCTTAACCTGAGATGCATGAGAGTTAGCGAGCATTGGGACTACCGGGAACATGCTCACCTTGTAGGCAGAATCAAAGAAAACTGAGGTCACCTTCCTGATGGCGGCGTTACTGAAGGCTGAGGAGACTGCCTTCCTCTGTCTAGAGGCATACAAACGACGTGACATAACCCAGAAACAAGCATCGCTGGAGACTCACCTCCTGTGACTTTCGCCGTCTGCCCAAATGAGACCACGACCAAGCTGGTATGATGGCTGTCATTTAGCAGGCTTGGGTAAGCTTGAGACACATCTGTGACTCACGAGCAAGTCGATCATGCGTTTCATATGTTTTCCGCGTATATAAGTGAACGTGTCCCGGGCGCAGAAATGAGCTATTGCTTTGGGATCCGTGAGGATGATCCTGCTATATCCCAGTGCAGTAGGGATCTCATATACAGGTCCATATTCTGCGGCCCATTTTGCGAACTCGAGGCCCACATTGTCACTATTCGAGAGGTATCGCTGTGCACCAAATAGCCAATTGTTCCTTGGAGGACCGCTGAGGCGGGAGGTCTTAGTCTTTTGATGCCTCACTAGAATGAGCAGGCGCCCAAGATACACGCATATCAAAAGGACAAGCAGATCGAGGGCGCTGATGGGCCGAACGAGCAAAGCCATAGTTCTGTGAATTCCAGGATGATACACCTGGAAGTGTTGTGTTTGCGACTCCACCGATAGTACTACTATACACACACACACCTGAGCAGGTTAATGGTTACGGTACGCGGGCGCCGCAACGAAAGAATGATTCTGGCCAGGCTTCTGTTCCCATGAAAAATCGGAAACCATTGAAGGAGACGCATGGCATTGCAATCATAATTGGGTGCAGGATTAGCGCAAACCATGAGCACCCGTCGGGTGGTTTATTCACTCTCACATGACTAGGGCCCTTCCGACGGATCCGGATCGCAACGTGCGTGCATCATCAAGTTATAAAAACGCAATTTTACGAGCAGTAATGAATGCAAAAACCAAGCTAATCACTGGACACGCCGGACACGCAAAGGTACGCGACACGCTGTCTCACCCACCACCTGGGGACGGGGCAGCATAGCTCTCGCCTTCTCCACCTGAGTCCTAGGGCCGTCTCGGAACTCGAACGTATAATTTCGAATCAACACAGACAACACCGCCTACACGAAATATAGTGAGCACCAAAAAGCGAATGGTGCGCCGGATAGTACGAACCTTGAATTCAGCTAGAGCAAAATTCTTACCAAGACAGATCCGCGGTCCGTCAATGAAGGTCAGTAGATGCCTATGCCCTTGGAGCTCCTGGGCTCGGGACGGCAGGGCTTTCCCATTGTCCAGCCAGCGCTCTGGCACGAATTCCTTCGCATCCGGTCCCCATACAGCCTCTGAATGATTCATGCACGCGATTGGCACAGTCACAAGTGTGCCCTTGCCCACCGGCAGACGGTCTATGGCCTCGCCTGAACCCGCTGTTATAGGGGCACTGAGTGGGATGACGTCGTCCTCACTTGCCTAATACGGGGTAGAGATACATCCAAGTTAATAGATGATTTGTATACCTCAAGTGGAACGAACACACCACTCGGCCTGCTTGGTCTACCGGCGGATGGAGACGCAGCACCTCATGCACGACCCCGTCGAGGAAGGGCAAGTCGCCCATCAGCTGATCCCAGCTAGGGTCTGACGTTGGGAAGCGAGTAAGGAGCTCTTCCCTCAGCTTCGCTTGAGTCTCCGGCTTCTTGCACAGTTCAACCAGTGCCCACTGCATGAATTATGTAGGACACTCCTGCGTAAAATAGGTACTCTGAAATCTTACCGTAAGGCTTACTGTGTTTAATCGGAACGTGAGACATGAGCGTACGGAAAGTCACAATAAACTCACTAGACGTGGTCTCATAGCCAGCAAGAATGAGGACTTTCATCTGCACAATATTATTGAGATAGGAATATCGCAATAGCTGCTGCACGTACTTGGGCCATCACTTCTTCCTGTGTCATTCTCAAGTCTGAGTCCGCACTCTCTGCCTTGACTATACCAACGTCAGGACAAAATCTCCGTCCAAGCGACGTAGTACTCACGAAGAAGACCAATGATAGACTTCTCTTCCGTCTTCACTCCCTCTTCATTCTCTTTCCTTACCCGCTCGAGCAACTCCGCCGCCATCTGCGCGACGCTCGAGGTCCAGCGCATGGTAAGCGCCCTGCGCTCCGTGGGCAGCTTCGCGAGGATCGGCAGCGTGGGCCCCAGTATGAACCCGACAATGGCGAAGAACGACGGCTTGAGGGTGTTGAAGGCGTCGAAGACTTGTGCTACTGTTGATTCTTTGCCACGGAGGGCGCCGAAGTCATGGCCAAAACCGGCTATGCCAATACTGTCCAGACTAGAGTGGGCTATCGGTTAGAGGTGATCATCTGGTATGACGAGATACGTACGAGACGCGGTTCATCCTTGATACGGGTCATGATTAGCAAGAGACTGCAAACAGATCATACACGATATTACGCACCAACTCTGCACCTCAATGATAACCTCATCTGAAGAGCTCGACTGAAGGATGCCATCCCACGCTTCCTTGAGCTAGGACATTCGATAACGAGGTTATAGGTCAGAGTTACACCCGGTATGAACAGGAAGCGCGAGACTACTACCTTGTACCCAGAATCATAGAACACGGAAGTCAATCTACGTATAGCCGCATTACTGAAAGCTGGAGAGACAGCCTTGCGCTGCCTAGAGGTCAAGAGAGTCAATCAAAAGTCAGTCAGAGTGCATGGCATTACCCCGACGCACTCACCGCTTGTGGCTCTCGCCGTCGGCCCATAGCAGCCCGCGCCCCACCTACATCAATAGTCTATTAGACTTAAACTTGTGAGACAGATACATCTCCGATAGACTACGCACGATCCCTTCGATGACCAGCTTTGCATGCGGCGTGTGCACGTACGTCGTAGTTTCCTTGCTGAAAAAGTGCGAGATGGCTTTGGTGTCTGTTAGGATAACTTTGCGCGAGCCGAGTCCGGCGGGCACTTCGTATACGGGCCCATACTCTGACGCCCATTTCTCGTAGACCGCGCCCGAATCAGGTTGGTCGGAGACGTACTTTCCGACGCCGAAGATCCAGCTCTTGCTTTGAGGACCATTCAGGCGAACCGTCTTCGTATTGCGGCGGATGCGATGGAATAGCTTGTACACCAACCAACAGCAACAGAGGAGGAAGAGCACATCGAGAGAGCTTATTTGGCGGATGGCCGCCATAGTCTATCGAGTGAGTTTAAGTGAAATGTGTCTTCTATTCTTTCTTGCAGCCAGCTCTTTATATACTGCCAACTCTCCATTGAGAGAAGAAAGACGGCTCTCGGGAGTCGGGACTGCTGCTGGGTCTTGACTAAGGGATGCTGACCATACGTCCTTTTAAAAGCAAGAGTCAGCGACATGTTCGCAACCTGTCCGTCGAACGTCCGACGACGGAACAGTTGCCCACGTACATGAAAGAATTTCTGTCTTCCTGTAACTGGTAAGCACGGGTACACGGGAAGTATAAGTAGCATTGGCTCGGGAACCCAGGACTGTCACGCCGGACTTCATAGAGGAAGCACCCCAACCACGGGCACCAGCAGTAAAGTTTGCTAGGCACAAGAGTTATGAGGCAGCCCAAACCAACCCTTTCATCGTAAACTATGACCCAAGGGACTAAGTTCAGTTCTGTCGTTCATAACATTAGGTCGCCACAAGATACGCTGGACATACGAGAAAGGTTATCTCGGAGCTCTGGATTCAGAAACACCCACGGACATGACATGATTTGGTTTGACACGCAGGGTATTCATGGACCGCGTACGATACTTGGTGTTGACCTGACAAGACACTGGAACCAAGGGTCTAACGTATCTTCTCGTAAAGGCACCAAGCTAGGCCCTGGACCTATCCCGGAACAAACCATCGTTTTCAGGCGTGGTCACACGGATCGTTAGAATTCGCCGCTGCACCTACGATTCGGATGCGTTACAGTCCCAGCGGCTACCGGTAAACTTACCTTCAAAGATGCTCAAGCTTGCACGAGTTCTGGAACAGAACCCTTGCAATTCAAGCCAGAGACAATTTACGTTATAATGGAGCACGCTGTACATGTCTTGAGAAGTGAGTTTGCAACGACAAGCTAGTCAATAGTAGGCCTGCTAATTGCAATTGGAGTAAGTCAACGTTGCTTAGTATCTATGTACATGTGTGTATGAGGAACTAGTCAGCTATTAGATTCTACTTACCGTGAGAGAATATAATCGTATTGCAGGTCGATCGTTTCGTTCGAATTCGTTGCTTTCTAGTTCTATCCCCCGACGTTTCAAAATGCCGGACATCGCGGTCGGCTCGCAGGTATTCGATGTCGCCTTTCACCCCGCGGAATCTATCCTCTATACCGGCCTGCTGAACGGCGAAGTCAACGCCTACCGCTACGACGAACAAGGGCAGAACGAACATGTTTTCACGGTCAAACCGTCGAAGAAGTCCTGCCGAGCTCTGGAAACTGACGCTGACGGGAGCCGTCTGTGGGCTGCAGGAAAGGGGAAAGGAATATAGTATGGTTCCCAGGCTTTCTTTTTCTTCCGAGGGCTTATAGGATACTATAGTACTATCGATACTTCCACCCATAAAGTGATCGAGAGCCGCAAAAACGCGCATGAGTGAGTGTATGCCCCCTGTCGTGCTGGTCGCGGTACTGAGCGTCTTAGAGAGCACCAATAAATCGGATAAAGCGGCTCCTGCCCTATATGCTTGCTTCCGGGGATGACGATGGCGTCATTAAAGTATGTAGCACCGTGTCTCGCCGTTTGTTCCAAGAAAGGATGAGACTGACGATCATTCGGCTCAGCTGTGGGACCCTCGGAAACCTGACGCCATCAGAGCATATACCCAGCATTTCGACTTTATCTCGGACTTCCTGTGGCTAGAAGACAAGAAGCATCTTGTGGCTTCCAGGTGAGTACTCTTCCTCATCTTGCGTTTTCCATCAAAATACGGAATGCTGGACCCAGTGGAGATGGGACGCTATCCGTTATGGACGTCCGTGCAAACAAGACGGAGCCATTTGCACACTCAGAGGACCAAGAAGATGAGCTGCTCTCCATCGTCACCATCAAAGAGTGCGCCTGCACCGCTGTTATAGCATCTCCCGACTCCCCTAATGACCTGACAACCGTATATAGCAACCAAAAGGTAGTCGTGGGCACGCAACTAGGCATGCTCTCCATCTTCAACCGCAAAAGCGGGTGGGGCGACTGCGTCGACCGCGTCCCGGGGTACGTTTCTCTCTCTTACCCCTCCCCTCAACTAACCCTAACCCCTCCCCTCTAATTCAGCCACCCCTCCTCCATCGACGCTCTCTGCAGTCTCCCCTCCGCCTACCCCTCCGCGCACTCCACGATCCTCACTGGCTCCTCGGACGGGCTCGTCCGCGCCGTGCAGCTCTTCCCGACGAAGCTGCTCGGCGTCGTCGCCGACCACGGCGAGTTCCCGGTCGAGCGCATCAAGGTGGATAGAGCCGGGCAGGGACGCTGGGTCGCGAGCGCGGGCCACGAGGAGATGGTTAAGCTCACGGATTTGAAGGAGATTTTCGAGGATGAGGATGGCGAAGGAGCGGAGGGGCAGGAGGAGGAGCAGGAGGGCGAGGCGTTCGGCGCAGAAGAGGAGAACGAGTCGGACGAGGAGACGGAGGCGCCCCAGGTGGCCGAGGTCGAAGAGAAGGAGCGAGAGACGCGGTCGAGCGATGAGGAAGGCGAGGACTCGGACGCTCCGCGCGAGAGGAAGCGGAAGAGGAAGAAGGAAAAGGATCCCCTGGCGGCTGGGAGGCGTAAGAAGGGCAAGAACGAGGTCGTCGCCGAGCCTTCCTTCTTCGCCGATCTGTGATGAGTCCCTTGTATCCCTCTGCACTGCTACTATACAAAATGAAAAGCATACAGCGATACACCGTCCTTCTACATGTCTCTAAGAAATTCACGAGCTAATCCACGTGCGACCGGGACACATCTCGATGTCTCTTAATCCACTCCGCGACACCGTTCGCGAGCGCCGAGACGACGACCATGAACACCGCCCAGAGGTGCCCGCCAAGTAGATGTTTACTCGCGGACAGCGCAAACAGCGAGCTTTGATCCCCCGCATAAGCGTGAGTGCGCATCGAGATGCGTGCACAGGCGTACCTGGTAATCGTCGGCCCCAGTGACCCGAAGGTGCCCTGCGCGACCTCCGTGAGGCCGTTCGTAGCCCCGAGGGACGCAGGGCCCGGGGCGTGTTCTCTAACCAGGATCATCACGATCCTACATACCCCATGCACATCAGCGCACGCGACCCCACCGCCCACAAGAAACACGCACGAGAACACCATCGTCCCCACCCTGCTCATCACGAGCACCACCCCGATACCCAGCCACTGCCCGGGCGTCCCGGCGGCGAGGCTGAGCAGCGGCATGGCGGCGAACGTGAGCGGCCAGACGAGCATGCCCGCGCGGAGCACGCGCAGACTGTCGAAGCGCCGCAGGAGGAGCGGCATGCAGAGCTTCAGGCACACGGAGGACGCGCCCATGAAGAACATCGCGCGCCCGATCTGCGCGACCTGTCCACGCGCGGTCAGATTGCACCCATGCCATGAATATGTAAGCGGGTTGCGGGGAGGGGGAGGGGGAGGGGGAGGAAGAGAGGCTCACGGAGAGCGCGAGCCCGCCCTCGCGCACGGGCGTGTACGCCATGAGCGTGAAGACGTGGTTGAACGAGCCCGCGATGAAGCCGAGCAGGCCCGACGCGAGGCAGATCGCGCGGATGAGCGGGCGCGCGAGGAGGACGCGGGCGGTGGGCGGGGTGATCTGCTCTATATCGATGGGGGGAAGCAGGCTCTCCCGCTCCCTCCCCGCCTCGCGTTCGTGTGCCTGGACCCGGCGTTTCGCGGGGAGCGTCTGGGAGGCGTTGCGAGTTATCTGAGGGCACTGTGGTGCGACTGTGCGCGCGGACGCACCTCTTCGAGGACGAAGATCGCGAGCAGCGACGCGCCGATGGCTGTTAATGAAGTGATGAAGCATGGCAGGATGTACGGGTATGCGTCGAAGAAGGGCGTGTTGAACCATGCGGGGAACTGCTCGGCGGGGTTCGCGAAGGTGCCCCCGAGCAGCGGACTGCGGGTGTCAGTGAATACGAGCGCTCTCGCGACGAGATTGTAGTGCTGCTCACCCTATGGCGAACCCGATCGCTGAACAGATGTCGTAGAGGGGGAACGCGGTCGACTGGTTCGTCTCGTCGGAGAGTTCCCCGACGACGGAATGGATTGCGCCTGTTGTTCCACAGAATATTCCAGCTACAAAATATGTTGTCCGTGAATGAATTCCAACTCGGTTAAAATCGAGGAGAAGTGATCAAAAAGCACGGCCCTTGGGGGAATTGAACCCCCTGCAGTTGAGAACGTGTCCCAGGGAGGATTCGAACCTCCGGCTTCACGGATGTCAGAAATCCTGCGGAGGGTAGCAGCTACCCACGCAACCACAACGTGATGATTTAACCACTAATCGACAAGGACCGAAAGGAGAGCTTGCCTTGGCCGGTTATCAAACCCTCCCGGCTGATTGTACATTTCCGAGAATGAATGGACGCTGTGGTAGGGCGAAGACTTACAGAAGAATCGAGTGACGAGCATCATGGGGAAGGTCTTTGACAAGCCGAAGAAGGTGGAAGAGAGTGCGACGCCTAGTGTGCCGATAAGTATGACGGGTAGACGGCCGATGTGATCTGCAGAATACGTGGGTAAGACGATAGGCGATGAGCGCTGGGGTATGGTGTACCAGAGAGCCGAGCCCACGGGTACATGCTCAGCAGCTGCGCGATCCCAAAGCTGCTAGTCTGCACGCAACACAGTGCGCTTGAGCTAACAGCACGAGCACATGAACGCGATTGCGTACGAGGAGCCCACTGTAGTACCCCGCCCCAGCACCCTTTGACAACCCAGACTTTTCCATCATCTCGTTGATATAAGGCATGACCTGAGTGCCGCAGATGGGGATGAGGACCTTGATCGCGAAGACAGTCGCCAGCTGCAGCTTGGGGAGGGGGGTAATCTTGGCCGTCCTCGAGCGGCTTCGACTCCGACTGCGGGCGAGCAGGGACGTTGCCTCGTCCACATCCTCGTCGAATGCAAGGGTCGTCATGAAGTGTCGTAGCAGAGGATACTGATGCACGGGGAGGATTCGTCTACAAGATGGGTGTTATACAAATCATGACATGCCTACGGATGGGGAACTCAGCGTCCGGCTCGTCAGTTCGTAAGCTGAAGGCGCAATCGTCCCAGCGCTGGCCCATGCTTACTCGAGAGATAGCGCCTCGGCTGTCATGAGAAACACCCAAGATACCGGATCCGGTGCTGCTTCTGCGGTACAGCCACGAAGTTTCCATAAATGGATCGCCCATTTCCATTCCTGTCGCTCAGCCTGAAATTCGCTGTGAATGACCTATCTTCTGTGAACAGTAGTGTCCCTGGACTTGTAAGGTGCTGAAACCCAATCTTTTTTCCTTCCCCCTACAGCCATTTGCAATTCGATGGGCCCACTTTCTGAAAATCATTTACAGTCGGACCACGTCGGACAAGCAATTTCAAGTCCCCGAGAGACAGAAATCGGACCATCTGGACTTCTCTACCTTCTTCCGACGTCCCTGGCACCCACTCCGACCCACTCCGACTATACGTGGTTTTCTGAATTGATGGTCTATCGATCTGCAAGCGGCTGTAAGCCAATCTTCTTCACTCACCTCTGAATCAGTTTCTCCTCGTCCACATCATGCCTAGGCTTGACAATGAAAGACGTAAAATTCCAAGCATGGGTCTCAGAGTCACAGGAGAAGACAGAGCTGATGATGGAGGCGAGAGCCTGAATCTCGGATTGTCTGCGCTGGCTGTTCACCACTCTTTCATCCGGCGATTCCGGAACATCCCAATGCTCTTACAACCCGTCGCAAAGTGCATGCCGCGGTAACGCTTTTTGGCCCCGTGCGCTTGCTCCAGTCCGGCCTGCCAGTGTCAATGCTAGTGGAGCTCATCACTCTCATTGCCGCGTTGTAAGTCATTCACCCTTCACGCCTATCATATTTGTGATAGACTCGGCTCATAGTTTTTGGCCTGGAGTCAAGAAGCTTAGTTGTACAGCTACACAGATCCCTCGTGCGTACTACTTCAAGGACGCCAACTCCGCTGTCATCATGGACTTGACCTAGGCATCCAATGGCGCTGCCGGCGGACCCTGCTATTCTGTCGGTGTCGTCGAATCCCCTGTAACCACTATGGGTGCTACGAACTGATTGACTGTCGTGGGGAGTTCCTTAGCGGATAGGGCTCCAAAACTTAGGAACTTTGATTTTGATTGTCACCATTACCGCACACATTCGCTCCCTAGTACTACGGACTATCGTAATATCGGACAGCTGAACCGTGTTTCCATTATGTCAT